TTAATGGGAGAAGAGCACAGTAGGCATCGACTGCCTGTCTCAGTCTCACCTAAGACAACATACAAACAACCCAGAAAGTCACCACCCATCAGTTCTCTTTAAGATTCTAGACTTGGCGCAAGTGGTATTTCTTTTTGAAATAAAACGGGGTAAATTGGGTGGGGGAGGGGGGGTGCTCGGAGGTAGCGAGAAGTAATATGCCGGCACTACACGGTGTAAGATTAACAACGGCCCAAACCAGTGTTTTAAATCAGGCTTTCAGATAATGTATCAAACTTCATGCGCAAAATAAAATATACTACAGAAATATGAAAGCATTAAACTCACCGTTGGGTTTGAGTTCGCCTCCATGGTCGCCAGCCTGGGTGATACTGGTACTTCTTCAATATCACGGTTGTGTCACGTGATTAGGTGGATGTTGGAATCGGACATCCATTGCTAATGTCTGTGACCTGAAGTAACCTTGGCCATTTTTACAGCGAATTTTTAGACGCTGAATTTGAAACAGTGAATTTGAGCAAGTTGAATTGGAGGACAATGAAAATATTGCATTTGAATTTTGAAAAGTTGAATTTTTTATATGCTGAATTTTTTAACACTGAAAATTTAAACTGTGAAAAATATGTATATTGAAAATTTTATCACATTGAAATAGGAATGTGAATTTTTTTAATAACTGAAAATTGCAACCATGTAAAAAAATTACACTGAATTTTTTTTTTATGTACAAATAATGACATTGAATTTTTTTTAGGTTAAAAATATATTCTGAATTTATTTTAATACTGAAAAAGTAAGCACTAATATACAACATTCAAATTTCAGAGGTATTTTTTATTCAAATTCTGATGGCACATATTTACTTCCATACGGTTGGCTCTGTTTTTTTTTTTTTTTTCACAATTGACAACAGGCTTGGTTAGAATTTCCCTAAACTTTATGGATGAATGTATCACAAAAACAATAACAAGAGAACATCCTGCTTATGCTGTTTTTTTTCTGCAACAAACCAGGATGCTGCAGAGAATGAAGCATTTTGATTGAAAACTTGAGGGTGTCTTTTTCTCTTTAAGGAAAAATATTATCATTGTGAATTAAGAAACTATCATTAAAATGATTTGAGGAGTGAACAATTTAAGTTTTGGAGCAGCTTGACCAGAGCCCAGAACAGCATTCAGCAGTAGATATTTGGAAGAGACAAGTTCTCACAATTTGAAGACAGAGATAACAAATATTGCTGAGTCTCCAGACTCCAAAAGTCTGATGGCTACAACAGAAAGTGTTTTTAACAGCGTGAAAATTTGGGTGTTTACCCCCCTGTTGAGGTGCCATGCCTTTGTAATGTCAACACTTTTTTTTGTGATATGTAACAATTAATTTATAGCATTTAACATGAAAAGTATTCATTCTTGTAGACACAAAAAAATGTAAATATAATAACATTATATATATAATAACAATTCTGTTTCGTTACTCTGTTCACCTTTGAGTAAACATTGTCCTCCATCCCCCCCAACCAACCTCGCTGTGATGCCATTTTGTAACAGTCTGTACCAGGAGTGTTCGTTTTTTTAGGGTGGAAACCTTTCTAACATGTTATAACTCGTTGCTTCCGAGTCTGTCCTTTAGAAGCACCATGGGAGGCATAAATGTTAAGCAAATAACACAAGATCTAAACAAGGTTCAAACTCTCTTGAGTTTACAAATAATTAAAGACAATTTTGAATTTTATTTCAATTTATCTTTATTGTCATTGTCACAAGAACAACAACATTTTAAAAAGTGCCATCGATCAGTGCATATGCTAAAAACAAAATCAAAAATCACTGTCCCACCATTTACACACAATATAAGAAATAAATAACAATAACTGATACAAAACAACTAATAAATAAGAATAGTACATTCTCACACACATCATACATGATGATTAATTGTTATTTTTGGTTGCATTTAGTTTTGTTATTGCTGTCGGGTAAAACCTGTCACTAAGACGGTTGGTTCTTGTTCTGATTGCTCTGTATTGTCTGCCTGAAGGCAACAGTGTAAACAGAGAATGTCCGGATGAATTTGAAATTTTTCTGGGAAAAACCTTCCTTCAGTGCCTGATGATTTGGTAACAGATTTTATAATAGTTTGAGATACGCAACAGCATTTTGAATAGCAAGAGAACAGAAATGAATTCAGGTTCAGCCAGTCTACAAATTGTTGTTTTCATACTTGTTTCAATCTGAGGTTGATTTGCTGCCAAAAAAAAAACATTAAAAGATGTTTTCAAAGTTAGAATAAAGATTTCATAAATCTTAAACAGTGTTTAAATAATCCAATTTTAAAGATACAGTTTTAAAACTGAACATAGAATTCATGATTATTCCCAAACTCTTGAATAGGACACCAATCTCAGCACCATTAGCCAGTTTCGGTGTTCATCCATGTTTTATGAAAATGTTTCACAGTGTAGAACTTGGGTGGGGCCTTCTTCCCTGTCACTGACTAGACATTTTATTTATGAATCCTTTGGTTGTCCCCTTAGGGGTTGTCACGGAAAGCCATCATACAAAGACTTGCCAGAGCTGAATTTTTTAACAGGGATTTAAAGAAACCTGCTTAAAAACAAGAGGGCTCGCTAGATGTGCCAGCAAGCAATAGAAAAGTTGTTCTAGTTTTTGTTTCTTGTGACGTTTTATGCGGCAAGTCAGAGTCTGTCTGGAAAAAAGCTGAAGAACAGCTATATATTCTGAATGTTGACGCAGGAAAAAACATTTAGATGCGTGACTGGCTTTAAAGTTCCTCATTTCAATATTTCCTCAGTTGGTTTTGAATAACAGCGTTTTTAGGTAAAACCTGAACCATAAGGCTTTAACTGACAGGAAAAACATCTCTGATCTCATGTGATCAAGGTTTTTTCAATATTACAACTTCACTTTTTTAAATGTTTCTTTTTCATTGTGGGAGATGAAACACTTTTCTGACGCGGTGATTAAATACCAATGACTTCATTGAGGTTGCTCCACAGTTTCAGCAGGTGCAACAAACATGTCTCGACTACTTCCTGGCAAGAAGTCAGTTAGAGGCGGAACAACTTTATATTCACCTGTCATGGGAGTGGAAACCAGTCTGACCACTTCCAAGAACATATGACAGGTTGTGCTTTTTCCACAGTAATTTGGTCCTTAGAAACAAGCACTAATGGCCTCCTGTGTTGCCCAACGTGTAAATGGGTCCACTGTGAATCAGGGAGTTTTCACGTTTATTCCATCCATTCAGCAGTTTTTGTTTATTGATGTTGTTGCTTGACATTTGATGACAACAATATCTCATGAAATAAATGTAACTAATATCAAATATTTTATAACTTGATTAACAACAACAACAACAACAACAAGAGACATAAAGTTCAATAGTAATAAGAAAAAAGTTTTTTCCTGATTCTTTTATTCAAGCACAAACCTTTAACTGGACTGAATAGTTCAACAGAATGCATTAAAAATGTAAAAACTGTCTCCTCTATTAAATAAAAAAATATTTTATACAACTGATTAATAGGGAAACTCCTTGAATAGCATAATTTATTAGGTGTAACAAATGAAAGATGAATAAAACATTTAAATCGTATGTATGATCCTAACAGCGGTGCATTGATGACTTAAACTAGACTTAGACTTAGGCTACTTTTATTGTCAAATTTGTGTATACAAAATAAAATGTTGTTTTGTACAACTGTCATGACATTTCCATTTCTTATTATTTCAAATGCAGCAGTGACCAAATGTAAACAGTGTGGGAGAAAAAATATGTAAAAAAACCAAAAAAAAAACCGCATTGACATTGAAGTTCGGAGCATTAAATAAATATGTTGTAAATATGAAGTGTTTTGGTTTGGTGTTATCAGTAATCCTCTCTGATCCTCTTCTCTACCCTTAATATATGCAAAACCTTCTTCTTACAATCAATAGATTTGATGAGCTGAAATGTTTATGTTAAAAATATTGAAAAAGGTGAGGTTAGTGTTTTTGTCATGCCTCAATAAGCTACTGAGTAATGGCTAAATTACTGTTTATAAATAGCCCACTGAAACTATGACTGTTCCTGAGTAATTACCCTGAGGGTGCACTGATCACAATAACCTGCCCCTTTTGGATCAATCAAATTATTCAATGTTTGGTGTCAAACAATCACTGGGAGCAGTTCAGATCTGATCCTACGGGTTTAGTTTTCATGTCACAAGAAGAGAAAAAAAAAAGTTAAATTCATGACGTAAGAACAGTTCCTGACTTCTAATCTCTCTGCAATTGAGATGATGTTTTTTAATTGGTATTGTGACTGTAATAATAAATGTAGCTCCCCTTGATTTTGAGCACAATGCGCAGAACTGGAATATTAAATCATTAATTAGATTACATTGAACAGTCTCTATTCTAAAACTGAATCCATGTTTGTTCTGCATACCGTCACACCCCTGAATGAGACTGTGTAAAGAGTTTGGTTCACTGTGAACCGTTAAACTCGGAGGACTGGGCTTTCTTCAGCGTACCTGCTGACACTTGTCACTTCTCCTCCCTCTAGCATTTTCTCATGGTTGGAGCCAAACTTCTGAGTGGTTGCTCAAGAAATATGTCACGTTGCTCTTGAAGAATCAGTTTTTTTGCACAGTTCACTTATCTGGCATATAAGCACAATTAGCAGATCGGTGTTAAGGTTCACCTGCATCAACTAATATAAATTTTTGGCCTAAATAATTAAAGTTTATTTCAATGCTCTTTGTGAGCAATATGTCTTTGCAGTGATGGTCCTTTCTCTATAGAACCTCAACATCAGATTCATCCAGGCATGAAAGCATCTGTCCTCGGCATCTTAATTGTAGAAATTCCTCCTTGCCTTTTTTATGCACAGAACTCAATCTCCGCTGCCCTCCTTAGGTCCCCATACTGATCCCTTCCTTGGATAAAATAGAGGCATTATGACTGTAAGGGTAGCCCTGGCCCTTAGACACTACCTCCATTCATTTTTTTAGACTATCCTGGTCTCCCTTTACCTCACTCGGGCCCCTTGTCTCCCTTTTTTTTGTGTGTTGCAGCAGAAAACCTTCGAAGATTGTGCTCGCCATTTTTCAAACTTCTCCCACCTGATGTCTTTCCACTGCATTGGAACAGCTATTGATAATTCAATCGGGGATCTGGACTACAGAACGTACATTCCCTTCTAAGACAAGCTGTTCCTCGCTGCTCCGGCCGTTCATCCTTTAACAACTGACATCATAACAAGGTCAGTCTTTTTTTTTTCTCTCTCCTGCTCATTTCTTGGTTACCACAAAATAGGCCTGTAGGAAAGACGACCCTAAAACGTTTTTACTTGTAGGCAAAATCTAGAAATTGACCAGTTTCAGTGACGTGGTCCAGGTTCTAATAGATTTGATTGACAGCTTTCATGAAGAAAAAAAGAAATATAAATTTGCATCATTCTGTTTTCACTCAACCGAAGCAGCTTTTTTTTTTTTTTAACTGTGAATAGAAATATTTTGCTTTTGCTGCATTAGGGTTTATGAAGTTAAAAGAACTAATAGGAGCTATTTTGGAATTTTATAACCTATTATATTTTGTGTAATGCTGAGTGTATTGTATTTTGTAACATGGGAATTTTAGCATGGAATAATAATAAAAAAGCCAAATCAAAATTAAAAAACTTATTTTAAAGGTCTTTTTTTCTACATCTAAAAAGACATCCACACACCTTTGAATGTTTGTGGTTTCACTGCCTAAAAACATTAGTTTTTTTTTTACATTTTCACCAGTGGGAAAAGGGTTGAATGTAGGGAAGGAAGTTTACGATTCCTTTATAACAAAATGTAAACAAGGTAAATGGCTAGAATAATCTGCAAAGTGCTGTAGCTACAACATTTAATCCTGAGGGCAGGTAAATGAATACCTTGGTTTAATACATAAAGCACTGTTCAAACACTGCAATTGATAGGGCATACTTCCTGCTCTGTATATCAGTAGTAACTTAATTTTGAAGTCAATAAAGATCTGATTAAATAATTTTTTTATAAAATTAATTGAAAGCAAGGCTTAAAAAATTAAACAAGAGAAAGAAGGCATCTTGCCCCTCTGCATACAATACAAATACTGCATATTTAGCTCTGGGATTAATCTGTGAAAGTACTTGAATCCATTTTTTTTTTTGACGATGATATTCAAAACCTGAAGGATTTTCTTACAGAGTCCTTTAGCAGCACAAGAAAAAAAATTTCATCTGATAATTGGGGAGTGGTTGTTTTTTGCCTAATATTTGGGTATACCAGAGCAGCTAAATGTTTATGAGTCATGCAGAGGCTTTGAAAACCCGATCAGGACAAACACCTGACATGATGACACATGCCTAGAGGTGGGGAGTTGGGGTGAGTGTAGAACCAACGTCACAGCTCTGCTTGAAACAGTGTTAACATGAGACAACCCCCTTCCTGGGGAGACTGTGTATAAAAGACTTGCTCGTACCCTGCACTAACATTCACTGTTGCGATCTCCCTCAAGTGAGACTTGGATAAAGACAAAGCTTTTGGACAATTTCCTTTTAGAAGCAGAGTTACCTTCTGAGACATGGTGTCTGCAGGAATACAGATCTTGGGCATTGCCCTTGCCATCATCGGCTGGATTGGGTCTATCATTACCTGCGCTCTCCCAATGTGGAAGGTCACAGCGTTCATCGGTAGTAATATCGTCACTGCTCAGACCATTTGGAAGGGAATCTGGATGGAATGCGTTGTTCAGAGCACAGGCCAGATGCAGTGCAAGGTTTATGACTCCATGCTGGCTCTTGACCAAGATCTTCAAGCAGCCCGGGCATTGATTATAGTTGCCATTCTTGTCGGCATCGTTGCCATTCTTCTAGCCGTTGCAGGGGGCAAGTGCACCAACTGCGTGGAGAATGAGAGCTCCAAAATCAAGATTTGCATTGCAGCAGGAGCCATGTTTATCATCGCTGGTGTTATGTGCCTCATCCCTGTTTCCTGGACGGCAAACACTGCCATAAGAGACTTCTACAATCCAATGTTAGTTAATGGACAGAAAATGGAGCTGGGAGCAGCACTCTTCATCGGTTGGGGGTCCGCTGCTCTGCTCATCCTGGGTGGGGGACTTCTCTGTGCCACCTGCCCTCCCAAAGATGAGTACTCTGCCAAGTACTCAGCTCCTCGTTCAACTGCTCCGAAGGACTACGTCTGAGAGGGTGAAAGCTTTAAGAAAAGACTGTGCTTTATTTCTGAAATGTTTTTCCTAGTGACTGTTTTGTGTTTAGGATTTAGTCTGATGCTTTCTCGCTGAGCTCTTTGAATCATCATGGGAAAAAGACACGGACCACACCCAAATAACTGTAGCTGCAGCGTAAAAATGTTTGAGAAGCGGGAAAGAGCATGAAGACATTTTTTGAACATCTTCTATTGTGTTACTTCAATATATTATATTTTTTATGCATTTCATTTGTTTGTTTTTTGTTGTTGTTTTTTTTTTTACTTGTTTAAATTGTTCATTCAAAATGCCTGTTATAAAAGATTCTGTATGAAACTGTAAATAAAAAATATTTCTTATTACTTCTCAAATTGAACACATGGTTTTATTTATTTTTAAGACGAGCATAAATAAAGAAATTAGGGAAACAGGGGCTTCTATAGATCTGCTCTGGTTTGTACCATTATTTGAATATATATGAGTTTATGTACCTACATACCTTTCAAAAAGGATATTGATTTTCTTATAACTCTTATATCTAAGACTGGGAAAAAAAAAAAACAAACTGTGCAAGTAATACTGGCCTCATAAATGGACAAGCATGTCATTATTTTTTAGTAGCTTTAAAATCCACAATCCATCTTTCCCCCAGGTGGACCTTTTCAGATTCAGACACTTTACAGGGTAATTTTCAAATGTTTTTTTCAAGCCTTCTTTGCAATAAAACAATTAAATAAATAAATACCACTCAACTGTCTACTAAGTGGTGCTGGGAATTTGGTTTACTAGGAAGAGTAGCGTTCTTGCAGCTGGAATTTTTTATGGTGGCCTTATTTAATCTTTTTCTTGTACAGGGGAACTTAGACAAAACCTGCCCACCACATCTGTGGATCAAAGGAAACTGTGGTGATGAATACAAACAGTAGGGCAGATAACATATGTAGAGCACTTAAACATGTGTATTTCTCCTAAAGCACTCTTTCTGATTCTACCAACAGTAGTCTAAATCCTTTAAAAACATCACCTAAAACCCAGGTACAGTGATAACTTTCAATAATGAGCATTTTTAAGGATTTCGAGCTACCATGATAAACTAGTATAATACTAATTCCAATATTTTTTGAATAAGTTTAATGATTTGACTGGCTTAAATAGGGGGAATTGTTGTATAAGTAGACAGCTATGCAATACTGCCCCACACTGTAAGGAAGAGAAAATATTTATTTTGCTCATACTAATGCTCACATTTGCTATTTGCTGTTATTTTAGCACTCTGTTAGGGAAGGTATATACAGGTTTGTTTGAGCAACTTGGTAATCGAACTTCTAAGTCAAGGGTCTGCAACCTGCGGCTAATTGCCCCTTCACTGTGGCTCTAACTAAACCAAATAAGTAATATTTTAATAGTCAAGGCAATAGTGGTTATCATGCAGTATCTGCATAGAATATCTTATCGCCAGTGGTGCAACAGTTTCAAAATCAATTTACTATTTTTCAGCTTTAACTATGTGTTCTTCATCTCTCATATTTATGGGGCTCACCCAGCTTGACTTATTCTAAAAAATAAAGGCTTTTCCCCCTCCTTGGTATCAGGTTAAATTAGCATTTTTCTATTATTAAAAGAAAAATCTTTGTTTAATTTCCGTGGCTTTTGACATACAATATACGTACATAAAATCTTTAGTGTGGCTACTAGCAGATTTTATTCAGTGGTGGTGTGACAATTTGAGTTCAAAAGGGTGCAGACCTCTGTTTTACGAGGTAATTCATAAAGTAGCATTAACCGCAGTAGCATCCCATGAGTTTGAAAAGCTGATAAATGTTAGACACTGATCAGTTATTGGCCCTTGTTTTTTTAGGGCCGTAGTTGTGATCTTTTTTCCTTAAACCTGAACTCTACTGGCAATTTAAAGCGACGTCCTGTTTGCCTTGTCATATATTTATGTCATTTTTGCAGGGGTGTCAAAAGTACACACATTTGGGCGTGGCCTAGGTCTCAACATGGGGTAGACGTGTTTTGAGGGAGCTCCGACTTAACTCCACTATTTTCTCACCCTAAATAATAATATTTAAACTTCTGCCTAGCATATTCATAGTGCACTATCACAATATGAACAGAACGACCAAGCCCAAACTTAATAAGAAAGACAAAGATATCAATATATGAGATATATGAGATCAACGGATCAATTTCCAGTCTCAAAGCGGCGCTTTTGGATATTTGTGACCGTGTGACATCAACCGAGGGCGCAGTTGGGTCACAGGATAGACGGATTTCGGAGCTAGAAAAGTACACACATTTGTTACTTAAGTAGAAGTATAAATAATGCAGTTGAAAAACACCCTGGTAAAAGTTGAAGTATCAACTTGACCTCTTTACTCAAGTAAAAGTGAAAAAGTACGAGCTCCAAAAACTACTGAAAGTATAAAAGTATAAAGTAACCTTTAAAAAAAAAACAGACAGATGCCATTATATGAATTGAAAGCTAAATTTTTCGACTATTTCAAAAAATTCTTTGATAGGGCCAAGGATGAGGGAGGTCTTGTTGGTCTCTGTCTCCATCTTCCGATACGCTCTCACCTGTGTCTGACCTTTCAGACATTTCAACATCTTTTTCTGAATCCGACATTGTAGCATGGCATAGACAATTAACGTTTGCAGTTTTTGAAGAATACCTGCTTGCTTCTGATGATTTTCTTTGGCGTCAGCATAAATTTGACAAATAGCTAATGAGTGTTTGCGTTATATGACTCATCCAATTACACCAGTTTTCACTAGATGTGGATGGCACCAATGATCTACATTGGATGGCGCACATGACGTGAAAAATATTCATAAACATTAACCAGAGCCAAGAGTAACAAGTAATGTTTGTTTTAAAAATGTAAGGAATAGAAAGTACATATACTTGTGTGAAAATGTAATGAGTAGAAGTCAGAAGTAGGAAGAAAAATAAGTAATGGAGTAAAGTATAGATCCCTAAAAAGTGTACTTAAGTACAGTAAAGAATTATTTGTACTTCGTTACTTGACACCACTGCATTTTTCCCATTGTTAAGCTGTATATATAGTAATCCTTGTAGTTTATTTGAGTAAAATGTATCTGCAGGCCTTTAACTTTTTTGCCCACATAAGTTTTAATACGATGTCAATATTTTTTCATAAGGTGGTTGAAGGTCGCCAGGCTATCACAGGGCTAGTTTTTACCTTATTAACTATAATCTTAGTCCACATTTGAAACCTTTAATTTAATACAATATTTAATTTAGAAGAAACTTTTGCCAGAGTACTCACTGATAACACAATACAATAAGTTACAGACCATGGGAGACCGTGGTCATGTGGTGAGACAGAAATATATTGTTTGCAGTCATGACCATAGGTATTTTTATTAAAAATATTGTCATAGTCTATATTCAACACAAGGATGACTGTTTTAATAGGAAATAAAAGTTAACCAAGACTGCAATCTGTAGAAAAGGCCACATCTTGACTTTTTGTCAGCATAAATTTACAAAAACAGAAAGGTCTCCTGGTCTGCCACGTAAGCTCTATCAGTCGTGTCATGTTGTGATTGGTTGTGTCAAATATAGAAGCCCACACTGTTCACCAGAGACCCCACAATGGAAGCCACTGCTCCCCAAGGGGGTGGGTTAAATGCAGAGGTAAAGTTCTCCAATGTGAGATCAATAAAGTTCAGTTATATCATTATTAAAAACCTATATAGCAGCAGATCAAGGGAGTCTCATTTGCTCTTCCCTTTGAATTTGCAAACTCATTGGAGTGCTTCTTTTTTATATATTATACTTTTTTATAGCTTTTATGAGTAAAAGTCACAAAGTGTTGCTTATTTTATGATTGGTGGACCTCTGTATGCATTGCCCTTGTAAAAGACGTCACAGCATGAACATTTTAGCAGGGAACAATAGGTATTATTAACATGTTCCTACAGATAAATAGGGGTGGTATTAATGTGACAATCCCTTTTATTTTTTAAAATGACATTTAGATAATATATCAACCTTTGCCTTTCATGAGAATCTAGGTTCTGGTCATTCTGGTATTAGTATCATGTTGATATCTGACCTTCAAACTCAGGATTTCTTGCAGGTCAGCACAGCAAAAAGGACATCTTGTGTTTGTGTGTAAACTTGCTCCAGCCAATAGGTGCTGAGGACTGTGGTATCAGGCACCCTCATGTTTCCACGCAATCGTCTCACATAAGAACCTTTATATTCCAGCCTGCGACATTTCAACTGTTTCCCCTTTGACTTTGGTGTGCTGCAGCAACACAGGAAGATGGTCTCTCAGGGGATTCAGATCACCGCTATGATCATTGCTACGATCGGCTGGCTGTTGGACATAGTGGTGTGTGGCTTACCGATGTGGAAGGTGTCTGCTTTTGTAGGAGCCAACATCATCACTGCTCAGACCATCTGGCAGGGCATGTGGATGAACTGTGTGGTGCAAAGTACGGGTCAGATGCAGTGCAAGGTGTATGACTCCTTGCTGGCGCTGTCTCAGGATCTGCAGGCGGGTCGTGCCATGATCGTCATTTCCATCTTGCTGGGGATCTGTGGTTTGTTTTTGGCCATCGCTGGTGGAAAGTGCACCAACTGCATTGAGGATGAGCGATCTAAGTCAAAGGTCTGCATTGTGTCCGGGGTTTTTTTTATCCTCTCCGGGGTGCTCTGCCTCATTCCGGTGTCCTGGTCCGCCAACACCATCATTAACAACTTCTACAACACAATGCTTTTGAACAGCCAGAGATATGAGTTAGGTGCAGCGCTCTACATCGGCTGGGCAGCTTCTGCCCTGCTTATGATAGGAGGGGGGCTGCTGTGCTGGAACTGTCCTCCCAAAGATGAAGACCTTCCCTATGTAACCAAATCCAGATTCACTCCTGTGAAGACAGCCTCAACATCCAGAGAATATGTGTAAATGTTTCTTTTTAGCATGGACTAATAAGTATAAGACAGCTCACAACTGTCATATTGATTGGATGAGAGAAGCCAAAAAAGGCCATAAAGAGGACTTCTCAGCCTTTAACATCCTAAAAAGGAAGGTTGATTAGAATTTATGCATTTTTAATAGCCAAGCTCACAAAAATGTCCACTCTGAGTTGGCTTTTATGACATTTATTCTTAAGATTGTATGTTGTGATAATTCAAGAAATTGTCTCTTTTGAGTATTGGTTGAAAAACAGATTTTAAAACTTTATTTAATTTCATTGTGATTATCATGGTTTTTGATATATCAAAAAATGTAGGTATCGCTAAGAAAAATTGTTGAAATTTAAAAAAAAGAAAGAAGCAAGTCTAACAAAAACATGTCTGAATATACAAATGTTTTATCTTGTAAAATAGTTTGCCATAATATGAGCATGCTTTGCATTTTCAAAGCATATGAATCCTTCAAAATTTGACTTTGGTCATTTAGCTTTTATTCTTAATCATATATATCTGTTGTTGAAAGAGCAGAGATTAGCATAATAGTAAAATGTGCTATACAGTTATTTTCTGGTTGAAAATGTTTGTCTCAAAATCTTCTTCATGTAAACGTTGGTGGCTTTTAACACTTTTCCTATTTTTAAACATCAATATGAATTTATTATTGTTCTTTGAACATTTGTAAAGGTGTTAAAGAGAGTTATATCTAATAAGACTCTTGGGATTTTACATTGCTGTGCTGTAAAAAAATGAATAAAAGTAAAGTAGCATTAGATTGTTTTCGTAATATTTTTTAGGTAAGTAAGAGCAGTATCATGTGACACAGGTGTGTCTCCATAGTTCTGTTTATAGAAAGGTTTCTGTCATGTGCTGTTGTGGGGCAGGATCTGTTTATGCTTTCTGGAAAGCAATTGCTTTCGATTCAGAGGGAATAGATCACTTTCATATTCAGAGTTTGTTTTCCAGCGTTGAGGGGCCACCCCTTAGACTTCCAGGATACCAGCAAATTCACTGTCTTTATAATTTTTTTTACTTAAAGCAGCAACCCTAAACATCTTTTAAATCTCGGTTTTCCAAAGTTATTAACTGTATCACAGACTTATTTAAAAGTTTTTTTTTCTTCACATCTACGCTTAACTTAGTGCCTCAGTAAAATTTGTTTGTTCTCCAGTGTATTTTTTTATCCAATAAATATTTTTTGTAGTTTGCGCAGACTGGCATTATAAATTAAACTCTTGTTAAAACAATATTTTCGAACTTCATAACTCATAACTGCAGCTTTCACTGCACTGGTAGAACAGAAGTGTACATCTTAATTTGTTGCTATATTTCGCACATTTTCTTTAAAATGGGGGTAAAAATCTCATATTGATGAATTATTTTATTGAAAAAATCTGTAGTTGCTGAGTTTTTTATTGAACCAAACCATAAAATTTTCTGGCAACAGAGAAGCACATTTTCCTAACATTGGAATTGGGATCTATGAGTGTTTTTTATGTATTCTTTACAGATCAGGGGTTCCTAACTCCAGTTCTTGAGAGCAACTCATCTGAAAATTACAGAATGGGTGATGCTTACCAGCTCTTCAGAGTTGGACTCCGCCTTTGGAGCCCCTAATTTCACTGAGTCTCTCTTTGGTTTTCTTCTATTCAGTTTACAAACAATTCTGCCCAGCAGACTGAGAAGGCCAACTTTAATAGGCTAGGTTTGTGTTTGGGGAACGAGATCTAAGCTGATCAGACCATTTTAAAGTCAAGATTGGGTCAAGAAATTGTTCATTACTTAGTTATCAATTAGTGAGAAAAGTTAACTTAATTTTTTACATTATAAGGAGTTAATGATGCCAAGATCTTTTGCAAAACAACAGACCAACATCATCACAGATCCGATATAGCCCTGCCAAATATGCTATAATGTGTCCCAGTTAGCCTCTCTGTCCAAATAAAAGTACTTGTATAAAACATCAAGCTTTAGGCATTTCATCAAGGTTACATTTTTGTCTTCATTGTTTTAAAGTTCCACTATGCTCATATTTAATGTTTTGTTTCCGTTAGCTTTAAGTTGAAATTCCTCATCATTTACAGATAGTAGTGATTGTGTGTTACCTAATCAAGATATATCATAATAAATTAATTAAACTAACTATTCAGTAGTATTCTAATTTATTAAATACAAATGTCCTGTCTAACAGAAGAGATTAAATGCTTTTTCACAGACATATTGTCATAAACCCAGACAGATGGACCCAGTATTCAAGGCGAGTCAGACAGTGGGAAGTTTCAAAACATTTAAATGACAAAATAAACAAACAGAACAAAAACGCGGCCTGCAGCGGATCTGCGGACCTGCAGCTGCTCCAGGGGGAAGGCAGAGCATCGCTCATCACTGGCACTCTGGTTGTGGGAGAAACACTGGTAAGAGACCATGATAATCTGACAGAAGATGATTATCCGCGTGAGTCCTGTACCGGGTTTAATAGTTCACAACATCATCTCATGAGAGGCAGGATCAGCAGATGCACTGCCAACACGATGTGGCACTGGGCCGTCCAGGTGTCCCCGATGCAGCAACCCCAGTGAGCAGGCAGAAACACAGAAACAGTTCAGAACAGGACCATTCTGAGATCAAGGAGTCCTTAGCCCGACCAGGGGTTCCGATCCAAACTAGAACTGACAGATCCAGGGTTCCAGGAATCCACAGAGCATTCAGGCAGGTTCAGAGTTCCAGTGAGTCCAGCAGCGAGCTCAGACAGAGACGCTTAGATGGAAACAGGTGGGCGCCGTGGTTGAGAGGAACAGAGACAAGACATGATACCAGGATAACTCTAGAACTTTTACCTGGACTCCTCCTAGGAGCCAGGATTACTGGAATTAAATTTGACTTCCCCTGCACTTCGAGCCCAAACCCTGAGAACTCCATGGAGAAGGACCAGTACCACAGCTCCCCCCCGCACGCCGAGCCAAAACCCTGAGGGCTATGCGGTGAAGAGCCGGGACACAATCAGAAGATAGGAGATAAACACAAGCACTCTCTCGACACACAGGTCCCCAAGAGCCAGGACAAGAACCAGGGACTTAACTAAAACTCAAAAACAAACAAACATGAATAACTAACATGAAAAATTAGGGATAATGATATGGCCCAATAGCTGAGCTGAACCGTATATAAAGAGATTGAATAGTTTGATAAGATTAATGATGATTTGAGCGCGGTGAGGGAATGGCAGGTGAATGAAGCAAGTTATTAGATAAGCTAACATGGCTCAAGGCTCTTCCACTGTTGTTTTAAATGCCCCCAAGCATCTAGATAAGGTCTAATGAAGTTCTGCACTTCCTGTGCCAATCACCTGTACAAACACTTGCACAGGAAGACACAGAGCAAGATGTACTTCCTAATAAGCCTGAGGCAGTTCAACATCTGCAACAAGCTGTTGGAGATGTTCTACCAGTTTGTGGTTGCTAGTGTCCTCTTCTACACCGGGGTGTGCTGGGGGAGATGCTTATCCAAGAAGGACAAGTCCAGACTGGACAAACTGGTCAGGCAATCCGGCTCTATGACAGGCAAGAAGCTGGACTTTCTGGGGACGGTCAATGCCAGCCACCCTCTGCACACTGTCACCAGAGAGGAGCCTGATCAGTGGGAAATTGCTCATCCCCAAATGCAGGACCAACAGACTGCTAAACTGGTTTCTTCCTCAAGCCATCAAGCTGTACAACTTCTCACTTGGGGGAAGGAGGAGGAGAAAGAAGATGGACAGGGGTAACATTGTCCCCATCCAATGTTGTCTGTCACAGTTTTTGTTGCTTTAAACTTTAAGTACTGAATTAGAAGCAAGTTTATACATATAGTTTTTTCTTTTTTCTTTTAAGGTCTTGAATTTATTTATTTTATCTTACAAATATAAACACAGATATGTGCTACTTAGAAAAGCATGCTTCACTGTATTCCTCATTTTAAGGAGTGGTCAAAAAAAAACAATCTAGTGTTATACTTATCCTAAACAAAAAACAGGTCATTGAGTGTATTTTTTTTTCTTTTTTTACTCTGATGAAACTAAAATTTAACCTTTTATAATGTCAATCATTAATTTTGAAGGAATAAGAGGGAATCTTCCAAGCTTGCAAAACTGTCAACTACAGGGGTGGAAGCATCATGTTGTGTGGATCTTTGGCTGCATTGAAAACAAAGGGAATTCACAAAACAGAGGAATAGGATATTTTCAAATATCAAAGGCAGCGAATAAAAGTTAAAAAGCTGAGTTTAAACTATGCAATAATTTGAAGCATACCATCAGATTTGTTGTAAACTCTTCTATGGTCAGGGAATTCTGTGCATTGAAGTGTCCAAAGCTATTCTAGTAAATATCCAGTACCTGGATAAATTGATCACATTAATGACATCTGCAAAGCGGACTCAATTCAACCAGTTCTATCTGGAATAAGGGCTAAAATGGCAGCAAACTACTTTGAAAGGCTTGTAGAAGAATACCTACTTTGTTTGACTCAATACCATTCATTTAATGACATTCCTTTACTGAGATAAAACTGTTTAGTCTGAATTTATATTACACAGAGAGAGAAAAAAAGATTTAAATTTTTTTCTTTGGTTTCAGCCACAAACAATCTAATCAGTTATACAAAGGGATTAAAATTGAATCAGGAACATCTATTGTAGAACTATCAAGGGGGGCAATGTTTATCTCTTTGTTAAGTCGATCTAAGGTGGGGTTTCTGCTTGTGTTCTTTCTTAGAGCTTCTTTTATATCAGAGCAGTTTGATATAATTGATTGATTTTCCATCTTTAGGAAAGTTTCAGGACTTTTTCCAGCCCTTTTGAGGTAGTTTTAATTGCCTCCAATAAATACCCTAAATCTACATATTAAAGTGTGTTTTTCAAAAGCTCAGGAAAGGCATTGTTCAAAGTGACTGCCACTCCTCTAGCTACATGAGAAGGAATCTTGTTTGTCCAGAGGAACTCACCTGACAACAGGACAGCACCTCCTCCTTCACATTCTGTGGCAAACACCTGATGAGAGAGCTGTGTCACTGCGAGAGCAATTCATAGCTGCTGCACTGAGAAACTCCTCGCTCCTGCCTCGGACCAAACCTCTTCACCATGTCGAGGGTTGGCAAGGAAGTGGCAGGTCAGGTCCTAAGCTTCGTAGGCCTGGTCTTGGCAGCAGTTTGCTGTGGTGTGCCTATGTGGAGGGTGACCTCGTACATCGGTGCCAACATCGTGACAGGCCAGATCGTGTGGGACGGACTGTGGATGAACTGTGTGATGCAGAGTACGGGTCAGATGCAGTGTAAGCTCAACGAGTCTGTGATGAGGCTGTCGCAGGATCTGCAGGCCGCACGTGCGCTGGTCATCATCTGCCTGGTGTTCGGCTTCATCGGCTTCATTATCTCGTTTATCGGTGCCAAGTGCACCAGCTGCCTGAAGAAGGAGTCTAGTAACGCCACTGTGGTGATCATAGGTGGGTGTCTCATCATTCTGTCTGCAATCCTGATCCTGGTCCCTGTCTGCTGGTCTGCAGCCATCAGCATCTCAGACTTTCAGAGCGCCTTGACCATAGAAACACAGAAGAGGGAAATTGGAGCTTCTATTTACATCGGTTGGTCTTCAGCTGCATTCCTTCTGATCGGAGGGATAATTCTGACCACATCATGTCCCCCCAACCGACCCGTGATTCCAAACTACCTAGGAGCGATGTACCCATACCAACCAGCAAACACAGCAGCATACGGTCCAGTGTATGTTCCTCCATCCAGCCAGGCATACTCAGGGACTTACTCTGGAACCTACGCCCCCACAAAACCTTACGCAGCACCAACTACATACTCCACTCGGGGATATCTTTGAAACTAAATGGACAGACAGCACAAAGAGACTGAAAAATACAACATGGTTTCATGAAGTTATGTTGCCACTGGATGAAACTGTGGATAAAACTGTGCCAAAATACATGTACTTTTAGAGCATGGTATGTAATCAACAAAACGTGATGTAAAAACTGCTTATTTCATTAAATGATTCTTAACAGATTACTCTTACTCATTGGTTAATTGTTCAAAAGTTCATGAGTAACATGAGTGAAATGTTGTTCCTTATGCAACCAATAAAATGGGTAACGTTTGTACACAAACAACTGTCATTTTATTTATTTCTCTGATTGCAGAATGTACTTTCTGAAGTGTTGATTTATTGTTTGTTTTCTGAAACACAAAATTGCTTCAATAAAATCTATGGGCCTTTTTTACTTTCTGTGTGTTTGTGAGGTCATTTTATGTCACAGTCATACCAACATCAGGAACAACTTATAAACAATGATATCAGTTTTCATTAAATCATAATTTAAAAAGTTGATTTGGGTTTATTATCGCTATGCATAATTTTTTTATTATATCAACTATTATATTTACAGATATACATCTTTTTTGTGAATTAGAAAAAAGGCTACATAATATAACAATTAAATAACAATTAACTCTTTAGTTTTCTATCAAGCCATCTAATTTCATAATTTGTCAAGAATAATTTTATTTTTTTTTTTTAGATATAATATGTGTGTGAAAACGAGCCAAATTTCAAATATTGTTGGCCCATTGTATAAGACAAATTATGAAAAAATACCATTGGATACAGGAAAAAAAAAAAATAGAAAAACTCAGCTGCAATCTTAAGAAGTGCTAGTCATCGATACTGACAGTAGATTCCTTCCATTTATTACTGTAAAAGAGAGTCAATGACACAAGAGACAGAATTTCTATTTTCTTATTTTCTGTCAGTCAAAAGCAACAATAAAGAACTGTGTTGGTTAAATAATAAAACAAAACATTTTGATATATATATATATATATATATGTATATATATATATATATATATATATATATATATATATATATATATATATATATATATATATATATATATATATATATATATATATATTCATATTTACAAAAATACTCTATATAATAGAAGTTTGCTTTGTCTAACAGTTAACTAATTAAAGTATGTTTTAACAAGGATAAAAATAAACTGTAAGACCAGGAAGGAGCTCCCTAAATTGGAATAGCTTTTCACATCCGGTGAAACTTTCATCTGAGATGGTGTTTTTTTTTTCTAAGCCTGAAACCAGTTGGTGGATGTGACGTCACGGTCAATGGACCAATCTGTGTCTCTGATTGTTATTTAAATCTGGAATGTTGGTCCATCGTTTGCATAGCGTTGTTTGAAGCTAAGGTCCATCTCGTCGAAACTACACCTCATCCTGACAAAGATCAAGTAAAGAATCTGGTCAGACTTGTAAATCCATACTGGTTTAAAATCAGAGGTTACATTTTCTTGGCTCCACCTTTAACTCCGATCTGTTTAAAACCAGCAGGGATTTGAAGCTGTTTTTCACAACGCTTCTGCAATCCGACAGCTCAGCTCATTTTTTTCTTCTCCGCTTGGTTCAGCTACAACTCGAACTTAAACATGGTGTCCATGGGACGGCAGATGCTGGGCTTTATCCTGGCCATCATTGGCTTCATAGGAACCATCATCGTCTGCGCTCTGCCCATGTGGAAGGTGACGGCCTTCATTGGAGCCAACATTGTGACGGCGCAGATTATCTGGGAAGGCTTATGGATGAACTGTGTGATGCAGAGCACAGGGCAGATGCAGTGCAAGATCTATGACTCTCTGCTGGCTCTGCCTCAAGACCTTCAGGCTGCCAGGGCTCTGGTAGTCGTCGCTATCATCGTGGCTGCTATGGGAATCATCCTGGGTGTCGCTGGAGGAAAGTGCACCAACTTTGTGGAGGAGCCCCGAGCCAAAGTCAGAGTGGCCATTGCTTCTGGGGTGGTCTTCATCTGCGCTGGAGTGCTTGTCCTGATCCCTGTGTGCTGGTCTGCCAACACCATCATCAGGGACTTCTACAACCCCATCATGACCAACGCCCAGAGAAGAGAGTTGGGGGCTGCGCTCTACGTCGGCTGGGGCACGGCTGCGCTTCTTCTCCTGGGAGGAGCCCTCCTGTGCAGCTCCTGTCCTCCCAAGAATAATGCTCCAGAGTATCCAGTCAAGTACAGCGGAGGCTACAGCGGAGGCTACGGCGCACCCAGATCAGTAGCCAGATCCTCAGCTAACAGCCGAGCCTACGTCTGACAGCACTAATCTGCTGAGAAATGACTGTAAATTATTAACGTTTTTAAACAATCTACCTTCAGGGTTATTTACATTCTGAGAGGCTGGATTCTTTAACAAATCTAAGAATCCCCATCTGGAAAAAAGACTATAGCTTCTGAACAAGAAGGGACAAAGCTATGGTGTGAACTGCGGTCCTGGCACTAAGGATCCCCAATATTTACATCAACAGGACTATAAAACACTTGTAAGAGTAAGAGAGGTTCTATTTAGACCTAATCGGCCTCTGAAGTCTGAGTTTGCCTGCAGATGGTTTATGGTCTTTAGAAGTTCTGATTGACTTTGTGAAAGACTTCAGTGATATATTGTGAATGTATTGCATTGTGCTGTATTCTTACTATTTTACACATGAAGATCAATGTTTTTTTTGTTTTTTTTTCAAACTTATATGTTTCTAATACACCATGAATGTCATATTATTATTGTTGTCAAAGAGCTTTTATTGAGCAGTGATATTTCATGTTTTTCCTTGCATACTTTAAGAGCAACTCTTTAATAAATGTTAAACCTGAAGATATTTCTTAAAGTGTAGCTATAACCTGTGAAAAAAAAAACAGCATGAACCTTTCTATATTTATTAACTAATTATACATATTTAAAGCTATAAAATACAATGAACAAAAGCTGAGACTTGTATTTAATTCAGGAAGGAGTTTGAGGGGAAGTTAAAGGAGTAATTGCACAGTGAAAGTATTTAGAGACATGCTGTATTCCAACTATCAGGTTTTTTCAAACCAGCTAAACCAGTTTTACAGCACAGATCATGGTTGAAGCCTTTCTTTGTGATGTTAAGTTTCTACGCACACTGGATTTACAAGCTTCATTGTGAGGCATTTTAGCAGGCCTAACAATGTTTGTTTGGCCTACTGGAGTTGCAAACAAGTAGACTAAGTGTCTGGTTATTTTGCAGCCTTTGTCATCTTTTCTGTGGATTTGTTTGCTTAATGCCTGATCTTGCCGGAATGAAAAGAAGCCATCTGGCCTGAAGTGGTTTTGAATCAACCTCACCTTAAAGGAATAGTACACCCAAAACATGATAAGCCTTCATTTTCTACTCACCCCCATGCTGAACAACATTCTGGAGTACTTTTTTGATATCTCAAATGCATCTGGAGATCTGGGAGGCTTCTTGCTGTCTGCTGACATTCAAATAATGGAGGTCTATGGTGCCCAAGGCAGAAAGATCAATAAAAGTCCACAAAAAACGTGTCAATATTCCTCCATACTGCTCGTCCAATGTATTCCAAGTGTCCTGAGTGGGTAGCGTCCATAATTTACTTGAAACGAAGTCATTTAGAGACAAACACGAGTCTACGGAAACCGCGGCAGACCAAACCAGATGAGTGCGCATTCAGCGTCTGCTCTGCCGATAATGCAAGCGTAGAAGAAGAAATGTGCTGTTTACCTGTGCAAAGAAAGAAACAACGAAAGAAAAATGTCTGAGGACTTCAGTGTTGAGGAAGAGCATGAGTTCTTTGCCGAGCTGAATGCGCACTTTCGTCTGGTTTGGTCTGCCGCGGTTTCCGTAGACTCGTGAACGCGCTTTTAGGAAATCCTATACACTACTGTTTATGCTCTAAAAACATTCTAAATGACTTCGTTTCGAGTAAACTCTGGATGCTACCCACTCAGGACACTTGGAATACATTGGACGAGCAGTATGGAGGAATATTGACACGTTTTTTGTGGACTTTTATGGACCTTTCTGTCTCGGGCACCATAGACCTCCATTATTTGAATGTCAGCAGACAGCAAGAAGCCTCCCAGATCTCCAGATGCATTTGAGATATCAAAAAAGTACTCCAGAGTGTTGTTCAGCATGGGGGTGAGTAGAAAATGAAGGCTAATCATGTTTTGGGTGTACTATTCCTTTAAGTTATTTCCACCATAAAGATGTTTTGTGCCTATTTTGAAAATCAATGATACATAGAATTGTTTATGAACTACTTAAAGGCTTTTGACAGAAAATATTGCTATTACGGTAATAAATAGACTAACATAAAATAAAAAAAGAAATCATATTAAAAAATTGGGAAAAATCAAGAACCAATAACGAGGGTTGGAAAATGAGAAATGTAGATTGATAAGTATAAAACTGCTTTCATTTGGTGAAGAAAGAACCGACATGGTCATTAAATCCTGATCATAAAGGAAACCTTTCTTTCGACCAATGTTGGACTTTGTTGTAAAAGTTGTGCAGCTGCCCTAATTGCAGCAACTCTAAATCTTAATGACAAACTTTTTTTTTTTTTACTTTTACCAATGCAAACTTTCCAAATTATTAGTATGTTAAAATTGATTAACTTCATTAAATGTGTTTTTAGGTGACTTTAACTCCTATGTTTTACTGTTTTATTGATCTAGCCTAAAAGAATAGCAGACAAAATGCTTAAAAACACTTCAGGTGTTATTTTCTTAAACTATTACAGTTGTACCTGTGCTGCTTACTTTTTTTTTTGTCTAAAAAAAAAAAAAGTGTAATCATTGTGTAATCAAGTGTCATTATGGTGACTTTCAGGAAACTATAACTGTATGCCCATGACGTCCTGAATCATGTGCCAGAGGAAGTCAGGACATCGTCACCTAAAGGTGTGGCTGGTGATAACACACCCTGTTCTTTCCACCAGTTTTATCTGGTATCACATTCCTCTCGATGATTTCAGACAACACAGGGTAAATGTCCCAAAACCAGTTACAAGCACTCTAGCTCACCGAAAAAAAAACCCTTAAGGAAAAGTCTATAATAAAAAGGGGATTTTTAATAAACAAAGTTAAAACTGGTTTTGTTTTCTTTCTTTTGGTTTAATGAGCAAATAAAGCATACATTCTTGAAGAAAAGACAAAATAATAATAAAAAATGGCACAAAAAAGGTTTCAATAGGCTGAGAGAAGGTAAAAATAGAATGCAATAGTGAAGTAAAGATTTTATTGAAGCTACTGTCAAAATGGTTCTAATCCTGCTGTGTATGTTTGTCTCTGAAAATGTGCTTCAAGGGGATTTAAATCTGAATAATTTTGGTTTATTTTTTAAATCATTACATTTTGTCACGTCTATGAGTAATATGTTTTGCTTTTGATTTGCTGCTGTTGCAAATAGTTACGGAACTAAGCCCAAATCTTCTTGCAAATTTAGATGTAACATCATTTTCATTCATTCCAGAAGTTTAAAGCAAAAAGTGAGACAGGCATCTGTCCCCCCAAAAAAAGAAAATATTGAAAATGTAATTATTTAAATTACCATCACCCTAATATCTATTGCTTCCTCCCTACATTATCTGAAACCAGGCCAAGCTGTCGGGTTTCTGCCCAGTTGGGCTTCTTATGAACAACTTAGGCTTGAAATAAAAATATTTTGTGTGGCTTTTTAAAATGTAAAGTCTTTTCACTGAATTTGTTCAGTTTGTTTTTAGAAAGTATGACAGAAAATAACTCCACTGTATCACTGAATGGCAGAGAGGTTGAGTAGCTTTTCAAGAAAATGTGTATAATTTGTTTAAAATTTTGAGAATTTGCAAAACCTGACATTACATATATTCTCTGACTAAACCAGTGTGGAATGAAATGTGTCAATGCCAAATCACTCCACTTCTCTTCAGTCTCTGCTTTTATGCTTGAAAGACTTGAAAGCCTCGATGTCCCTAAATTTCTCAAAACTCAGTGAAGAAAAAACCATGGTGCTGATTTTTGGCAGATCCAGTAAAGACTCCCTGATTGATATTGGATCTTTGGCCAGGCATGTCAGGCCTATTAATACCAATTTAGGGGTTAAAACAGATGCTGGTCTGCAGTTTGAATCTCACATTAGAGCTGTTGTCAAATCCAGCATCTTACGCTTGAGGCAGCTAGCACAGGTGTACGTCAGCATTTTGAAACAGTGGTCAGAGCCTTTGTAACCACTCGGCTGGATTACTGTGATACATGTTATAAGGGTACCGGTGATTCATGCATTTCCCAGCTTTAGAGGGTACAGAATGCTGCTGCAAGTACATATTATGATATTCCCTCTATTTCAGCCTCATTACATTGGCTGCCAGTACATTTCAGGATTGATCTGAAATCCTTTTATTTGCTTTTAAAGCTCTAAATGGTCTTATCCCACCTTACCTCTCTGAGCTGCTTCTTCCCTATACACCCTCTGGCTTCCTTAGATCAGCTGACCAGTTGTTACTGAGGATGCCAAAGACAAAACGCAAGCTCACAGGAGACAGTGCTTTATCTGTTGCAGCCTCTAAGCTGTGGAACGTTCTTTCTTGGCCATTAGACTCTTCACTTTCTGATTTTAAATCTCTTCTTATGACCCATTTCATTTTTTCCTTGGCTTTTAACACAATCTGAGATGTTGACTTTGTCTTAATGTGTTTCATTAATTGTTCTGTTATTGCTTTTTATTTTATTTCTACTTTTATACACCAATTTATTTATTGATTTCTATGATTGATTATGTGTAATTTCTGATTTTGTAAAGCACTTTGGTCCTGTTGGGTGTTGAAAGTGCTTTATAAATACATTTTATATAGTATGGTATGGTATGGTACGGTATAGTATGGTACGGTACGGTATGGTACGGTATGGTACGGTATGGTACGGTATGGTTTGGTATGGTATGGTATGGTATGGTATGGTACGGTACGCTATGGTATGGTATGGTACGGTACGGTATGGTACCGTACGGTACGGTATGGTACGGTATGGTACGGTACGGTACGCTATGGTATGGTACGGTACGGTATGGTACCGTACGGTACGGTATGGTACGGTATGGTATGGTATGGTACGGTACGGTATGGTATGGTACGGTACGGTATGGTACCGTACGGTACGGTATGGTACGGTATGGTACGGTATGGTATGGTATGGTATGGTATGGTATGGTACGGTATGGTACGGTACGGTATGGTACGGTATGGTATGGTACGGTATGGTACGGTACGGTACGCTATGGTACGGTACGGTACGCTATGGTATGGTACGGTACGGTATGGTACCGTACGGTACGGTATGGTATGGTATGGTATGGTATGGTATGGTATGGTATGGTATGGTATGGTATGGTATGGTATGGTATGGTATGGTATGGTATGGTATGGTATGGTATGGTACGGTACGGTACGGTATGGTATGGTACTTGGTCCATTATGGTTTTGAAAGTTCAGTTAAGCTATATTGGGGTTTGAGGACCTGAGGCCTTTACCATTAAGTTTTGACTTCATTATGACAAAATGTGACAAAGTGTCTTGAACTGTCCAAATTTGCAATTAGAAGCTCATTGCAAATAGCCTGACGTAGTCCGACTCAATTCTAGTCAGAATATGAGTCTGATACTGCTCCATAGAGCTGTGATTATGGGGCGTGTTTCGAATGAACCAGGAAAAAAAATGCCTCTGCACTCAATTGGATAGACCTACAACCAATAAGAGCAACGGAGTGCGTGACGTATGTTAAGCGATGCATAGTTGTTGTCCACAAAAATCAAAGCGTGCAGTTTCACGCCTAGAATAAGAAGATGAGACTTGATCGCGTTTCTCTGTTCCTCTTTTAAAATTAATTTGCTGTCGATATCTTCTAGAACAGACCTAATAGCAGAATCTACTCACCCAAACTCTCCAGCGGCAGCCATTATTGTTGTCACCCAAGCGCGCTTTGGTCACGTGGTTGATTACGTTACTCTTGATCATCTGTCCATCATCGTATAAAGCCCGCCCTGACAATTTGATTGGATCGCCTGACAGTGGGCTTTAATACTCGCGCTACTATGGAGCAGAGCCAGACCGAACTTCCCCGAACTCAAACCTTGTGGGCGGGACTAAGTTCGGAGTGGCACCCAGGCTACATTGCAAATAGTGGATCACAGAAATCAGAGGGCATCTTCATTCATAGGGACCAGCACTTCTTCCTTCAATATGCTTGTCGTAGTTTCACACTTTTAACTTAGGAGAGGATCAAGGCTCAAGAGAAGCTAAGATTTTGTCTAATTTTTATTTAGATCAGCAGGTTTTAAGTTTATTTATTTTTTTAAGGCAGGGTACGTAAATCATTAAAAAAAGTTTGAATTAGCCAGCTGTTTGAGTTTAGTTTATACATTTCATCAGCACAGACAGAACATCTGCATAGTGTAGGGCAGATAATATTATCATCATTTTCACGTAGCAGTTAATGCCCATATATGTTGAATGTGTGACATCTCTGAGGTGTGCGACTCACATCATTCAAGTTTTCAGTGAGGTTGCTGTTTGCAGATTCTGGAATGTTATTTACCTAAAACCATATATTGGACATTGATAAAGTGGTATTAGCCTCGATGACAAAATGTCAACATGAAAGATTGTTTGAGCTGAGCTTCATTTACATTCACAGCTAATTTCACCAATTCTCACCAACACAATATTCATTTAGTAACTAGAGCATCTAACATAGAATATAAAAAACATAAAAATAAAAAAAAACTTATCTATTCCATACGTAAATAAAACTAGGTAAACAATAGGAGTAAAAACCGTGTTACTTGTTGTCTGCAGAACAGATTTACTTTTGTACATTTTAATGATATAACCTGTCTCAGCACATGTTTTAATTTAAAGAGCCTTCTAAGAAAATTGGACTGACGATAAGACTAAATGCTTGGCTGATATACGTGACGATTTTGCTTTGGTGTCTTTTAAAATTGCTCTTTAACATCTTTCTTGTTGAAAACATAGTTTGCCAAGGACCATGATAACCCAAAGGAAGTATGAACCCAAAGTATGAACACTTAATCTCGTAGATTTTTACATACAGTAGGTTCATTCCAGCTTTTTAATCTTCCATCTCATAAAAATAAAGCTCTTGCACTTTCAAGTGTTTTTAAAATATATTATATTTTAAATTCTTTGTTTCGCTTTATTTTTGCTCTATTTTTGAGAAATCATAAAAATGTTATGTATTTGCCAAAGCCAGAGCATGTAACCAGGGGTATGAGTAACAGAGCCAAGCAACAGTCAAGAGAGGTGTTAAAAAAAGAGGAAAAGTCTAACTGAGAAGAAGAAATGACAGTATTTGTAAATACAGTACAGTATTTGATGCCAAGTGGCATAAGACACAAGTAGAGACTGAAGCACGAACGTCAACCCTCAAATGCCATTGTCCTGTAGGTTTTGCATACATCCCTGCAGCACACCTGAAACTAATGATTGCTTGATGCCTCTGATAAACTTACCGACATGCCAAGGAGGTAATCTGGCCTTTTGTTTCAGGTGTGTTGAAGCTGGAATGCATTCAAAAGCCATGAATGAGGTAATGTCGGCCTTTTAGTGCCACATAAATGACTGCCTACTTAATAAGTTCATGAAAATGAATCATTTTAGCCAATAGTATGCATGACATGGTTTCATACCTTCAACAATTGTGAAAAAAGATTGTAACAATTCTTCTACAGTTTTCCAGATTTAAAATTGTAGAATATTTCAGAATAATAGGATGAAAGCCACAAGCCTACTTTTTAAGGTGAGCTGTCTGTGAGTAACCTTTCAAACCTTCTCTCTACAGAAACTTAAACACCTAGAATTCGTATTACTCTTAGAGTTTTCTGCCAAACACTTCTTCTGCTCTAACAGACAAACTATCAACATTTCAGAGCTGATACCATTTTTGTAGCGTGCATTCTTGCTATTAATATTCCAGGAACAGCTGAGGCTACATCCTGGCTCATCTATACTCAGAAAAATGTTGAAACCCCGACCTTTATTGTCATTAAACACAAAAACCACCTGCAGGGGTGGATTCATTAGGCAGGTCTTCTAGTGTTTCCTCAATAGGTTGGCTCTCACACCTCCCATTCTTCTGCGGCTCCTGATGCTCTCTTACACCTGAGCTGCTCTCATTGTACCGTCAGAGACGCTAAGAGATGCACAGCGATGGCTTCCATGGGAATGCAGATGGCTGGCTGCAGTCTGGCGCTTTTCGGGTGGATCGGGGTGCTTATCGTCTGCGCTACGCCCACGTGGCGGGTCACAGCTTTCATCGGCAACAACATAGTGACTTCACAGACCATGTGGGAGGGCATCTGGATGAGCTGTGTGGTACAGAGCACAGGTCAGATGCAGTGCAAGGTGTACGACTCCATGCTGGCTTTGAGCAACGACCTTCAGGGGGCCCGAGCTCTGGTGGTGGTTTCCATCATCGTTGGTGTTGTAGGACTTCTGATTGCTTTTGTTGGAGGAAAATGCACTAACTTCATACCAGAGGAGAGGGTCAAAGCTAAGGCCATGGTGGCTGCAGGGGCGATCCTGATCATCAGCGGAGTCCTCTGCCTCATCCCCGTATCCTGGACTGCCAGCATCATCATACAGGATTTCTACAATCCTCTATTGGTGGATGCACAAAAAAGAGAGATTGGGGCATCTCTGTACATCGGCTGGGGAGCTGCAGCTTTACTGATCCTTGGTGGAGGAATGCTGTGTGCCAGTTGCCCCCCTAAGGAGGAACGAGCCCCCTCTGTAAAATACCTCTTAAAAGGATCTGGAAGAAACAGCAACGGAGAGTCATACCGATCTTCCACACCAACAAAGACATATATTTGAGAAAACTGGATGTTTGGTCTGTTAGAGGAAGACTTACACGTGTCATAGAGGGAAAGAAAGCTCACATTTAACACAAAAAATGAAGGAAATCTGCACTTTTATTTTATGAGAATCAAATGTAAATGAAGACCTTTTCTGTTTGTGACTGTATTACTTTTTGTCTTAAAATATGCATATGTTGTGTTAAATTTATGGTCTAGAAACTTTACTTACTTTTATTTGTCTGGTTTCATTTGTACACAAATTTATCTTAAGAGAGCTATGGCTATTTTATTCTCTTTCATTAAAAGGAACTTGTGTTGCAAATGTTTTTAGTGAGGACATTTGTTTGCTTGTTTTTAAAACCTGCCCGGAGTGATATTTAAACCAAACAAAGCAGAAACCGGTTTGTCGGGTACCTACCAGATTCAAATCCCAGGAACTGAAGGAGAGCCTTAGATAATCATGTTCCTGTTGACTCATCAGTGCTTAGTGAAGCAGGATTTACTAAAAACTTTTCAGTGTCCTGCATCCATGGAAAATTTAAAGGAAATAAATTAAAAGATTGTTGCCTTTACAAATAATAAGAAATATTTGGACTCACAAACAATTTAATTCAAATTTAGATTTTTTAATCAGAATTGATTGTTTTAGTTGACAGCCCCACCAGCGTGATAGGATCAATGTAAAAACATTGATCCCATCACACTGGTGGGATCAATGTTTTTACATACAATCACAAGTGCACTACAGATAATGAGGAAGGAGTCGAATTACATAGTCACCCTACGACATTCAGCATGACACTTCCTCCTCTACACACACATTAACTACAAATTAGATAGATCAAGATTTAATATTATTTTTGATAGATTATTGCTTAAAAAGAGGACAAATCTCTCTATAAGCCCACATGAAAAGATGTCTGGATTCACAAATGAGCATCATAATTTATATCGGGTTTAATTCAGTGTTTAGGTGAGATCAGTTGAGTTTGTTTATGGAGCATATTTCAGTCGGAGGACAAGTCAAAGTGCTACACATGAAAAAACAAAACAAAGAAATGACAGCAGCAGATAAATGAGAGGAACGTATATTTGCAGTGGAATAGTTTGAAAGAAAGAAAAATGTAAAACTAAATACAATGGAAAAGTAAAATTAAAGGAATGAAATGATCATAGGGAAATGAATAAAATAATTATTGATAGTATCTTTTAATCGTTAGTATGAACTCTAAACTCTTCTTTTAAGCCTTGACAATTTTTAAATGTTTCTTTTCCAGGAAGTAGGCTATTTCCTGGAAATCTGATTCCTTAGTATTGTTCACAAGTAATTACTCAGAAGTCATTATGCACCTACAGTAAAACACCTATAGATGTGTTGTCAACTAGGGATAACCAGTTTATATCCCAATGTTATAATGTTCCTCGTTTGGAAAAAAAAGGGGTTTTCTAACTGACCTATAGCCGCCGCCCTAACATCTTCTTAGGCAGAACTGGTTAGAATCTGCGAAAAAAAAAAAAAAAAAAAAAAAAAAACACATTAAATATGATCTATTATTACAGTCAGATATCTTAACACAAACATTTTATTTGAATAAATGTATTTAATTGGTAGAAAATATTGAATTGCTGATTTATTCTTGATTGCTGGTCTAACAGTTGTGATCATCATCAATAATCCCTTTAAATAATTATAAGAAAATATTATCATATTTTGTTGTTAGATGTTGATCATAAAGACTTAAAAGAACCTGATAGGCTTCCCTTTTTCCTACTTCATAAATATCATAGTTTGGTTTCTTTAAAACGCTTTCTACAATATAAAAAAATATATTTAATTCTCAGCAGATGTCTGTGGATACAGATTAGTCACCCAACAGAGCAACAATTTAAACATTTTAAACAAAGCTGGGGAAGGATCCAACTTTGTTTTGCCACCAGGGAAGAGAAGAAACGTGAAAACAAACATCATGGTGGGGGAAAGAGAGCATAGGGGGCCATCAAACCAGGAAAATCCTTTCTGTTCTGCAATAGGTAATGCTAATGCTTACACTTAGCCTTCTCCTGAAAAAGAAATGTATTACTCTTTCTCTTTCAGCTGGAGAGTGACTCTAAACCCATGGAGTTAAACTGACGCACAATACCACTTCCCATATCTGAGTTCCCAGATTTTATAACTGTTTTATAGAAAACCTTTGGGGAACCCGTTATATAACCTCAAAGGAAGAGACAAACCCATTCTTGAAGCATGTTAAAAAAATCAAGGATGAGAAATGTCCCTATCTGTTTATACTTTAATCTTCTGAAATGTTACAAGTGAGAAAAAAGTGTGACCACACAGGAAATACAGTTGTACGAGTGAAAACTGTGGTTTTGATTGGAGGGTGTGGTATGTTATGATTCTATCAGTACAAGAGCAAAATCTGTGAAAATGTAAAAACTACTAATAATGCTGGCAATCTATAGTTTAAGAAGCTTTCGAGACAGAAAGCTCTCATTAAAATCTGCCTGCTTGAATATACATAAAGTAATCATTCAAACCTGTGGCCATGCAAAAGAATTATTACTGCATTCACTTATTATCTACTACTAAGCTTTGTTTGTAGTCTTTTCTGTTGTCCCCTTGCGCCCTCTAGTGGCCATTTGGAATCATGCCGCAAAACATGCACTAAATATATTTGGATTGACATCATCAACATCAACATAATCAATTCTAACTTTCAGTTTTGATATGTGACCTTTACCTAATTTCCCCTGTTATTTCAACTTAAATTAGTTTGCTAATAAATTCAATGTTTAGTTTTATCTGTGTAACTTTTGTTTGTAGAAGTCTGTTTTTAGAAGAAAAGACTTTCATCATCAACCCCAAGAAGTTTGCAACAGAATTGGGTAAAAATGTTAGTGTCAAAATGTACTGATTTCAAGCAAATTTTTTTCTTTTTGTTTTGTGTTTGATAGGGTGTGAGCTTCCAGTTTCCCATGGCTCTACAGGAGTTGGGCATAAGTCTGTCCATGGCGGGTGTCGCTGGTACCATGTTGATCTGTGGCCTGCCCATGTGGAAGGTCACCGCATTCATCGGCACCCATTTGGTGGTAATGCAAGTGTTCTGGGAAGGCCTGTGGATGACCTGCGTCAGTGAGTACACCGGTCAGATGCAGTGCAAGCTCTACGATGCCCTCCTGGACCTTTCACCTGAACTCCAGGCAACCCGCGGCCTTATTTGCGTCAGCATGGTGTTGGGATGTTTGGGGTTTCTCATCTTTATCCTGGGAGCTCGGTGCACCAACTGCCTGAGCCACCCCCGAATCAAAGCCCGGGTGGTGCTCAGCTCTGGGGTCATCTTCTGCCTCTCAGCCCTCACTACAATAGTAGCTGTCGCTTGGACCGCCAACACCATCATCACAGATTTCCACAACCCCAGAGTACCTGAGGTGCTAAAGAGAGAGCTTGGAGCAGCCATTTACATAGGATTTGTAACATCTGGGCTGCTCTTCTGTGGAGGCGCCATTCTTTGTGCAACCTGTCCACAAGAGAGATCCAGATTCCCCTCCAGTGGGTACCAGTTAGCCAAGACTCCCACACGAAGCAGCTATGCCATCAAAAACTATGTATGAAGACAGGAACCTAGACAACAAGACACAAAAACTGAAATCTTGTTCACCTTAAGATTTATTTTGTTTATGCCTATTATGATGCTTTCTGCTTAATTACAATCTCTGTGTAGTAAGTAAAAATAGATCTAAATAAAAGATCATTAAGAAACATCTTTGGGTCTTTTCAGATCATCATTTCTAAAATATATATAATCTATCCCATCAGTGTTGCAGTTTTTTTTTAAGGAAATGGTTAAAACACTACTTTACAGTGACCAGAGAGAGAAGATAGCTGCCCTTCCTTTCTTGTTTCTAAAAAGCTTTCTTATTAATGTTTTCTGACTCATGTAATTTCCATTCGATAATGGAAAGATTATACCAAATAAGCCTAGATCAGGGGTGCTCAAGTCCAGTCCTAAAGAGCTGTCGTCCGGTAACTTTTAGATGCATTTCTCCTCAAATGCTGAATCTAAAGGCTCAATCCCCTCATTTGGCTCAGAATGGTAGGCATGGTAACAAACCACTCATTTGATTCAGGGGTGTTAAAAATGTCAAATGTCAAAAAGTTGCTGGATAGTAGCTTTTGAGGCGTGGATTTAAGAAGCCCTGGCCTAGATAGATGATCAGAAAGCTTATGTCTAAGAAAGTGACATTAAACTACTCAATTAATTTTCATCTTGGCTTTTGTTTGTCATCTAAGAATTTGTGTTCATATTTAGGGGTTTTGTTTTGTGATGGTTGGTTGTTTATTACTAAGGTTCCAGAAAGCATGATCTTCATAAACAGGCAGACTTAATTTTGTGAGATTTTTGTCTCCATAACTGTCAACAATTGTTAAACCAATTACCTTGAGTATAAAAAAGGTTCAACCATCATCATTGCTTTTAACTTTGATGTTTCCTTTGCTGGTTTCCACCACCATAAACATAAAGCTGCTTCATGCAGACCCTCTTTTTCCTGTAGGACAATGGAGACTGGGATATTTTCAAAATCTATTTGAAAAACCATGATGTACAAGAACAGTATAAATGCAACAAAGCTTTCTAGCATTATCTCAAAAATGTGGTGTTGCAAAAAGCAAGGTGTTTTCGTTGGAAAAGCCATTGGTTATACCATAAACTATCACAAGTTGGATATTGGGGTGGAAGATATAAATTAATTGTTTTGCCTAAATTCATTATTTGAAAACAAATTGGTTTTTCCAAGATTTTTTAAAGATTATTTTTCTTCAAATATAGGAATCTAACACCTAAATAAGACAAACTGTTAAAATAATGTGATAAATGTGATAAAATAATGTGATAATGGGCTTATTTGACAACAAACCTAAGAGTCATAAAAAAAATAAAGTAAAAAAGAAAAGAGAAGAAAGATTTTTTTATTTCAAGCATTTTTTATTTTATTTACAGACATGTTATCTTCATAGAAACTAATACTATAAGCAGTAGGCTTTATTGTATGAAAATCTTCTATCCCTTCAACCAAATTCAAAATGATTTTTGCTTGAGCAGAAAAACAAATCTAAAGGTAAATTTGGAAAAGTTTAGGTTTTTAAACAATCAAGTTTCAGAATAATCTTTATTAGATAAACAGATATTATTTCTTTGAGGCAGCATTAACAGGCCATCTTATAGGTTCCCATCATTGGAGTTCTTTGTTAAGAATGAATGAACAATGAGGCCATTGTTCACTAAATGTCTCTATTTTCTTAGTCTTTTGAAAAGTCTGGTAAACTTCAAAGACATGCTGATTAAGTTAAATAAATAACAGGAAATAACTAATTATGGTAACATATTCTGTGTTTGTTTAGGGGTAGTTTAGTTATATTCTTTTTTAAAAAGCCCCCCTTTTTGCAGATTGTTTTTAGAATAGAATATAATAGAATAAAAATTCCCTTTATTGTCCCACAACAGAGAAACTGTGGTGCTACAGCAGCAAAATGTTATAGCAGAAGAGGTCACACAATGTGGACCTTAGAAAGTGTATAAAAATAACAAAATAAGTAACAGTAACAGTTAAGAAAATAAATAAGTACTTTACTGTACAGTGTTTTTGCAATATAAATGCTCTGTATCTGGAGAGTAAAATAGTCAATAAACAGCTGTGGACATTTTTACAGTAATGGATATGTGATGAATAGCAGCAACATCAGATGTACAAAATGTTATGTCATTTAACTAAGACAGAAACTCTCCAAAAATCCGTATGAATGTAACAACTTATTAAGGCTATAGGGGACAGTGGTGGTTATAAATTCTTACAGCTGCTAGGAGGAAGGATCTGTGATAACGCTCCCTGGTGCATTTAGGGTGCAGCAGTCTGTCACTGAAGGAGCTCTCCTGTTCAGCAACAGTGAACAATGATATTCTCAGGGCCTCAGATAATGGACTTGTATCAGTAGTTACGGTCTTTGGACCAGAGTCTTTGAAAAAGAAGCTGATGAGTCAGTCACTTCATTTGGATCGAATAAATTGATCTCAGATAATAAAGTAAAAAATCTTGGTGTCATTATTGATCAGGACCTGTAATTTAAATCCCATATCAAATAGGTTTCTAGAATTTCCTTTTTTCATCTCCAGAATATTGCAAAAATTAGAAATATCCTGACCAGGGTTCTGAGAAAATAGTCCATGTATCTGATACTTCAAGGCTGGACTATTGTAATTCTTTACTATCAGGAAGTCCACAAACTGTAGTTAAAAGCCTTCAGCTGATCCAAAACGCTGCAGCCAGAGTTCAGATGAAAATTAAAAAGAGAGATCATATCTCGCCTATCCTGGCTTCTCTACATTGGCTTCCTATTAAATCCAGAATAGAATTTAAAAGCCTCCTTTTCACATATCAAGCCTTAAATGGCCAAGCTCCATCTGATATCAGAGATCTGATCATTCCCTATGTTCCTAACAGAGCCTCTCTTTCAATCTGCAGGTCTACTAGTGGTTCCTAGAATTTCTAAGAGTAGCATGGGAGGCAGACCTTTTACTACCAGTTTTAGTCCATGAGGCAGACACCCTAAGGGTGGGCTTAAAACTTTATAGTTATGCTGCTATAAGCTAAGACTGCTGGAGGACATAGGGACCCCTATTTCATCTATTCTCCCACTCTGCAGAATCTGTAGTAGTTCAGATAGTTCAATCTCTAACGTTCTGCTCTCTCTGCTTTTTCTCATAGTAGCTTCATCTGGTCTGTTCCTGTTTGGCTGTGACTCCATCCTGGAGAGAAATATCAGCTGCGCAGCTGCCATCAACAACTGTGTTTATAGATGTTCGAGATCTGCCTGTTTTTCAGTGTAGTCCTGTTTCTCTGACATGGGAGTTGGCTCGGAGCTTGTCTGCCTGGCTGTGTGTTTCCTGGATGGGTCCGCCTTTTACAGTTGCTTTTTGTGTCCCTGCTTCTGTCTCCTTGAACTCCAGTCGGCCTTGGCAGATGGCCGCTCACACTGAGCCTGGTTCTGCTGAAGGTTTCTTCCTGTTAAGAGGGAGTTTTTCCTCTCCACTGTCACTACAAGCATGCTTAGTTCAAGACAATGAGTCGATGCAATTAACTGGTTTTCCTTAGATAGAAAACTTTGAATCAATTTGACTGTATGATCTGGTGAATTGTAAAGTACCTTGAGATTGCATATTTTGATGTTAATTGGCGCTATATAAATAAACTTAATTGAATTAAATATTCTCTAACTCCTTTCAAATAAGATCACATAATACCGCCACGACCACGTTTGATTATAGAACTGATACAACCTCTGGTTTCCTTTCATGTCTGCAGAATTGATAGGAGTTCTGCAGACATAGTTCCAACATTTGTTAATCAAATGAGACATGCACGTCTGCCACTATTAGAAGACGCTCCTTACATGTTGAGAGGACTCTTAAACAGTTTGCACATGTTTCTGTTTTTACTTTACATCTAACAAACCAAATACTGTTTGAGGCCAGAAATGCCTCCATTTGTACCAAAACATCTTGTTAAAGCAGTTGCTTTGTGTTCTTTCCTTTAGTTTAACAAAGAAAGTCAGACGGCATCGTAAATATGATCAAGATTTGATTCAACGTTGCAGAAAGTTAGAAAGCTGAAGTTTTAATATTATTTTTGAATCTTAGTTTGCCTATTTACTGCAGTTAATGCCTGGCTGTGTGTTTCCTGGATGGGGCTGTCTGTGGAGCTGGTTTACAGTTGCCTTTTCTATGTCTGCTTCTGTCTCCTTGAACCCCAGTCGGCCTCAGCAGATGGCCGCTCACACTGAGCCTGGTTCTGCTGGAGGTTTCTTCTTGTTCTAAGGGACTTTTTCTCCCCACTGTCACAGCAAGCATGCTCGGTGTGAGGGGTTGCTGATGAGTCAATCAGCCGATACAATCAACTGGTTCTACTTAGATAGAAAACTTTGAACTAATCTGACTATAAGATCTGGTTGAACTGTAAAGTGCATTGAGATGACATGTGTTGTAAATTGGTGCTGTATAAATAAACTGAATTGAATAGAATATTTATGGTCTTTAGCTCTAACCTGAACTCGTTCTGAGCAACGAGCAGCGGCATCTGCTAGTCCACTCCCTATACACCTCCAGACACTAATTACTTTTATACATTCAGGACTTATGAGGTTTACACTTCATAGATTTATTGTCCTAGCTGATAAAGTCAAACATTTGTGTGTAACAATAAAAAAAAAAGGAATACAGTATTATATTGAGGGAAATAAAGGCTAAAGAATATGGGTGTCTTGTTAGATTTATTGTCCTGAAGTTTCCTTTTAAATTCCAAAGTCTAACAGATGAATAATCCAGTCTGCAGCAGGGAAAATATGAAGCCTTGACAAGTTTGAACTTGTGACTGAAAACAGGCCAACTTCACTCTTCAGATTTGCCAAGCTCACACCTAAACTTCCATGCTGTCTGAATTTAGTTTTATAAATCGAGTTTCCTCTGAGAGTCAAGGCCCAGCGGCTGAAGCCTCGGTGGACAAAGGAAGCTTTGTTTTCTCCTCTCTAGAATCAGGGATAAATGGATTGTTTTGAAACCATGGTAGAGAAAACAGAGGGATTTCCCTGCTCCACCCAGCTGCAGCCAACTCAGTGCCTTCTTTTCAAGAATGCCAGAGAACTGGTTCCCTCCTCTCTGAACAGACATGCAAAACAGACACACAAACCCAGCAGTGTTTGTGCTGCACATGTGAACATTAAAATAACAGCCCGCCCCGTCCTCTCCCCTTCTCGCTGCTCTCTCCTGCCAGCTGTTTCTGTTTTGGCAGCCGGACCCGGCAACAGAGAGGAGGAGGACCAACGAGGCCGGAGTCATGAAGAGGGAGCTGGAGATCGCTGCCCTCGGTGTGGCCACCACAGGATGGCTGGCTGCCATTCTTACACGCTGCCTGGCCCTGTGGAAGGTAAGCGGGACCGTGGACAACACCACAGCCAGCCTGCCTGCCTACTGGGATGGGGTGTGGCTACAATGGGATCACTGGGATCTGGCTCATGATGGCAGCCTGCACTGCTCTTTCTACCAGTCTCTGATGTCTCTGTCTGGAAGTTTTCGCACGTGGAGAGCCCTGATCATGGCCGCCATTGGAGTCGGGGGATTCGCAGCAGTGGTTGGAGCAGTGGGGTTGGTGTGGTTTCCAAAGCGAGGCCAGATCAAAGTGTTTTCTGGGAGTTTCTTTATTGTGGCAGGTATCCTGTTGCTGGTTCCCATTGCATGGACTTGCCATCACACCAGTCAGCCACTGGAGGGCGCTGTGTCACTGAGGAGAGACTGGGGACCTGCTCTGTACCTTGGATGGATCTCCTTTGGCCTGATGCTGGTTGGTGGTGTGTTTTTAACCACCAGATGCCCCACTGCAGGGGGGCAGGGGGAGCAGCCCGGCAGGAGCCTGAGCCCCGAGGAGGAGGCCAGTAACCCGCTGAACACCATCAACAGAACTGCGTTCACAAACAGCCAATACAACCGTAGATCACAGGCCATCTGAGGGGACTGGAGGGCAATATTTAAATGGACTGCTGAAAAGTGAAATGAATGCACATAGATGATCTGCTCAGGAAGATGTGTGGTTGCACTTTTTAGAAATATTTGGTTAGAATTACCTTCAATGAGCAGAACCACATTCACTTTATTATTAACATGGATTTTTTTTTCTTCTGCTGTTTTCTTCTACATTTACTGTATGTTTGAATGATCATTTCCAGGCTTGAAAACTGCAGGAAAATAACGGCTCTGTTCGGTTTGTTGCATTAACAAGAACACATCTGGTGGTTTATTCCAATAAAGTTTAACGACCGTTATGTAAACTCCTTAAAACTAACTGCTACTGCATCTGCAGATTAAAAACTGGCTGCACTGAATTGGCAGCTTATTTTATTGTAGGAGGGATGTCTCAGAAGAATCGGGGGAAAAATTGTCACTTTATAGAGCAGGATCACTTATATTTCATATCTGGCTGCTCAGAGTTTGACTTTCCTTTATAAAAAATGACTGAGAAATACTTCTGTTTGATATATTTGGTTTAGTTTATGTCAAACTGGAATGCTTGGATGTGCTGGGATCAGATACAATGTAATGATAAAAGAGGAATGTAGAGGATCAATAGAGAAAAGCACATCAAATAAACAGGAGAAATGATGCAGAGTAGCCTTCTTTAGCACTAAGACAAAATGGACAAAAGTGACATAATCCTAATTTATTGCTTACCAACAATTCTCACAGAAAATAGGAAAACTCTTTGATATAAAGACCAAACATTTTTTTTGCAGATACTTAAGTTATTAGAAATAGAACAGAATGGGGTGGATTATCCCTTAGTGGAGAAAAAAGGTTTTTAGCATTACAAAAAACAATATGTGAAATATGCAAACCTGTGATTTATCTAAGTTAATAAAAAAGAGCTAATTATCATTTAAATGGAAAGATAATAATAGGGATATAAACAATGTATTGGGTTTTGTTAGCTGTTTTAGTTGTAAAGTCTGATATCTGCTAAGAGGGAGGATCTGAGATGATGCTCCTTTGGGCACCTAGAACGGAACATTGAAAGAGCTAAATGTTTTGAACGCCCGCCCTCCATCTTCCTCACAGATAGTCTGTTTTTAGTCTTCCTTTAAAGGTTGGTGATGTGGACTCCATCATCTCAAATCCAGAAATACTGTAATTCATATTCTTTCTGATATTTCTATATTTTAAAAGTGTCAGAAGTTCCAATAAGATCCTCGAGTTTTCATCAAATTAACCTGGACTTTCTGACTTAATCCCCAAAAAGTGGACGTATCAGATAGAGGTCTTTGTACAGGATAAAAGGAAACAAACTCAATTTATTGTTAAATTAGTTTTTAACTTTATTTGATTAAACTTGACAGTGAAAGATACAGAAGTGTGACACACTGAAACTTAAGTTTCTGCCCTTTTTTCTTTCTGTATGTAAGCTTTACATCAGATAAAACAAAATGTCTCATTTAAACCTCAGATTTACCATGTGTTTGAATTTTTATCCCTGTGTGTGAATTCTTAAAAATGATAATAAAGGTTTTGCTTTCCTTATTTTGTTCAATATTTAATGCTTTCTTCAGGAACACTAGATGAATCCAGGATTAATATCTGCCTCCTGATAAAGCTGGCTAAAAAGCCTGAAGTCAAACTGAAGTGATTCAGGTTTTGTGTGATGAGCCTTGACCTGATGTTTTAGATCATAAAAGTGATCCAATATCTATCTAAATTCCTTTTTCCTGACAGACGCTACCGGATTTTTACTTTAATTGCCTTTTTCTAAAGGTTAGTGGTGCCATACAGTCGGAGAATGTTTCTAAATACAATCATCTGCAGTCTTTCCTATTTCAGAGTGACTTAAAAGGACCTTAGTGTCACTTTATTTTAGTCCTTTAAAGAAATGGGAAACAAATATTCTGTAAATTGTGTTAGTCATATTGCTAAGGTCATACTGCAAAATATGACTATGTCTAAATGATTGTTTTATTCCCTCGCAATGTATTGCGATTAGTTTATCTGACAAATTTCTACCAGGGGCGACCAAAGTGCAATGATGTGTATAATTATTTGCTGTTATACCCATTCTATTTATTTTACATTTGTACAATCTGTGTTTAAACAAATTAAAACAATCATTGTGAAGTTTAGCTTCAGAGCAGGATTAATTGTTGCAGTTAAATATATTTCTGGGTCTATAAAGAAAGCGATGCAAATAGAAGCTAGAGTCAAAAAAAGTCCCCACCAGGACAAAAATATAATAAATATGAAAATGTAAGTCAGATCCTATTACTGACCATCCATTTGTACATTTTCAGAGCTGAACCCTGCTTTAAAATCCACTCTTTTCAGCATTAAATTAGTTTGTTTTTAAACATAGCTGCTGTTTTGCAAGGCTGAATATAAGGTGAAGAGACAATAAACAGTCTGTTTTGTTAGCAGTTTTAGGCTTTGCGCTCCAGTGAGGTGTTAAGCTCGGTGAGCGCCTACAGCTTCTCGTCTCCTTCCTCCACGTCTTTCAGGCTGACAACCTCCAGAGATCCGCGGCCTTTGGTCTCACAGCGGATCAGCTCATCGATCTCCCTGAAGCAGCCAGGATCCACCAGACAAACCTGAGAGGGAAGATGAAGACGAGGGTTTGATTGTGATCTTAGACACCCTGAATCGTTGCTCTTTACCGAGCTGTAAACCGACCATTTCCAGCTCTTCGTCGAACTCTTCGCTCTCAACCACCTGCAGGAGAGGTTTGAGCTTCTCTTTCAGCCTCTTGGCCTCCTTGGCCGGTATCACCAGCCGCAGCCTCATGTGGGCTCTCTGGATCTCCATGGTCTCCTTCAGCTGCCGAATCACTTCCAGGGCCTGCAGAGGAGCAAACAGAGAGTAAATGGATGAAACTCACATCCTTAATGGCCGCTGTCCTGCAGGACAAAAATCTAATGACATATTCATTAAATTAAGATGTGCTGAGTCAGGGAAACATCTAAAGGATGCAGGAAACCAGGTCCTGGCAAAAAGACAACTTTTATTGTCATTTTGTAAACAAAATTTCGTTTAGTACAGCTCTTCAGACATTAAATGAACATTTCCATTCCATAAAGTGAAGCAGTGATCAAATGTAAACTGTGTGGGATAAAAAAAAAACATGGTGCAAAAAACACATTTATATGGAAGTTCAGAGCATAAATATCTATGGTTTGGTTTGGTGTTATCAGTGTGATGCAGAGTCTGTGACATGATTTAGAGATTTTCAAACAGGAATAAAGAGTGAAGTTAAGCTCCATTATATTTGGTTTATAACCCATATAAAGAAATACATTTTAAAATAAACCATTAGTTTGTCTTGTAAAGAAATAAGGAATGAAACAAGGAGGGACGGTATGAATGATTTGAGTTAAAACAAGAAGGTGAAATAAATAAGGAAGGAGGGGCAGAGATAATGGAAAACTGGGAGTGGTATTATATGAAAATCTTGCAGTAGCAATGATATGAATAACTCTTATAATTTGTGATATTTAACCAGCCTCATAAGTAGGGCTGGGTAAAAAAAAAATAGATTTAATCGATTTTGAATTGATTCGTTTACATTTTTGCAAAATCGATGTCTAGGGAATAAGATCAATTGGTTTTAAAGTGTCGCGCGTGACGTTCACATTTAAATGAGCAGGAAAGATGCTCTCAAGATGAATTCAAGCCAGACAGCTGCAAATATAGCAAATAGGTTGACTGAAGATATTAACAAATGGGGGCTGAGCAGCAAAAACCCTGTAGTTGTTAGAGACAACGCTGCAAATATGGTTTGTACAGTGGAAATAATGCAGCTCATGCATGTCTGCTGTGTCCCCGCTGTGTCACGTCTGCTCGCTCAAGCGAGGCTTCACTTTTTCACTTTTCACAAACAAGTTTGCACTTATGAGACAGTTTTGTTCACATCTCAAGTTTAAACTGTCCGATTTACAAGTTTGCACCTTGTGTTTAATATGATAGGAAAAAATAAAATACATAAGTATTTTGAAACACAGTTGAACCACTTTCATTATTGTAAAAACAGATTGGATCGAAATCAATCGATTTAGAACTCCATGAATCAAAAATCGAATCGATTCAGGACTTTGGGGAAAATACCCAGCCCTACTCATAAGTGCTTTATAAACTCTTGGATCAATAGCATTTTGAATAAGGTCATAATGTTTAATTATAAACTTTAACATGAAAGCAGCAACATCATTAAATTATCTCTATGAGAAACAGAGTTATAGTTGACCCAGAAAAACAACAAGAAAAGAAAACTAGGAATTTAAGGAATTGAAAACGTGAAAATTTTGACAGTCTGGAGAACCTTAGTTTACTGAGTATACAAGTGAGTCTTTTATTAATAATTGAACTTTTTTTTATTTTTTTATCTCACATTGGAGAAATATACCTCTGCATTTAACCCACCCCCTTGGGGAGCTGTGGGCTGCCATCGTGGGGTGCCCAGGGACCAATCGGGGGTTGAGGGTTTTGCTCAGAGACCCAGAGTGGCAGTCTGTGGGAGTTGGGCTCAAACTCAGAAGCTCAGGATTCCAAGTTCGAGCCGCACTCCCACAGACTGCCACTATGAGTCCCTGATCAGGTCTAATGATAGACTTCATGTTGCTACATCCCTACCAGCGATGATGTGATTCCACCTACTTCTATGGACTTTCAGTTTGCCAGCATACCTGCTGCTTGGTGCTCTTATTGGGCTTCACAGAGTAGTGGATGTCCTTCATGGCTCGCTCGATGAGGCTGACGGTGTAAGGCCTTTTAGTCTCTGGATTCACACACTTCTCTGCCACGATGGAGGCAATGTCTCTGAACATGGTCTCTAGCTGGCTCTGCCTCTCCTTATCAGAGACCTGGAGTTCCCCTTTGGCCAAAATCTGTCACACAAGGAGACAAACCATTTAGCAAAGCTTTTGGTTAAAATTGTTAACAGACATCTGGTGGTGAAATGTCATGTTTTCTTTACCTGTCTGCAGATTTCAGTCTGATCATCTGTGCCAAAAGCTTTTACCAAATCATCCTTTTTCGCCATCTGACCTTTAGAAACATTCACAAAAACAGAGTGTGTCTGCAGCACCTCGTCTAGGTCTTTCTCTCTGGAAGAAAACAACAAACCTCAAGGTCAACCAGAAACCACAACAAGACATTTTGATTTTACCCAATACAGATAGTCCCGTTTGTTACGCCGATAAAATCAGCGAAACATGCAGGAAAATAACGTTTTTAAGTGACTCACGCTCCAGATCTCCAGCTAACGACTTTATTTTTGTAACACGCGATTTCAAAGCGCTTCCCTCCTTTCTTCATCCGAACCACCGCCACGTTGGTCAGTCGGATCTGATTTGTTGGAGTAAATATAGACATGTTTCTGTTTGATAAGACACCTGAAAGTGTCTTCAACTTGCTACCAGAGCGAATGACGCGAATCCACGACGGTGTGTCTACTGTCCGGGTCCGGTAAGAAACTTGGAATGAAACAGTTCCGACCACCTTACTGTTTCGACTTCAACCAAAAGGAAATTGCTTATAAAGCATGATTTTTGATTAAAATAACAGCAAAAAAAAAAAAAAAAAATATAGACATAAGATGAAAACAAACACTAAGAAGTCATTATTACGTAACAGACTACGCTTCTTATCAGGGAAATGATCAATCAATCTGAAACTATGGATTTTTCTTTTATGACTTCTTGTCTTTTTAAAAGACAATACATCCATATAGAAATATTACTTTAAAACCAAACAATTTTCTGTAAAATCTATTTATAAAAGAAGAGCAAATTACTTTTTTTTTTTTTTTTTTTGTATGTGTGTCTGCTGCCCTCGGGTGGCTGTTTGGAAGAAATGCATCTTGTAGTTGTACATTTGTGTTGGTTCAATTATATTAAAATATATGTGATTATTGTTCATGCCAGAATTAATCTATTTTAGGTACTTTAATTATTTACTGATACAATGCACCTTGGCCTAATAAGTACTTTATTCTAAATAGTACTTTGACTGGTTAGTTGTTCGAATGAGCTAAAATTATGCTGCAAACATAAAAATAGAATAGAATAGAATAAGATAAAATAGAGCAGAATATAATAGAAATAATCATTACAAGCAATCATGACAATAATAACAATATTTTTAATAATTATATTTATGTATTCCCCCAAAATAAATAAATACAAATAAAACAACTTGCATGATTGTTTTAAACACATTCAATTTATATGATTGTTTAAATTCATCCGTTTGAAATTGGTAGAGTTTCAGCGACTTTTTAATCTCTTCTTTTTTACTTTTAAAGTCAACACCTAATCTGCAACCAAGAAACCTTGACTGCAAGATGCTATACATTATTGGGCCACCAGAGGACAGCAACGCATATAAATGTTCTTTCCAGACTCCAAAATTTCACCCAATTTGTGGTAAGAAATGATTTCGTTCACAGCTTTATTTCAAGAATGTGAAAGAAGGCACTATATTAACCTGATCTTGAAATGAAATCTGTGATAATTTAAAGGAATTTAACGAAAAACATTTGGTGCAACAGTTCCTCTAATGTCCACAGGACAGCAGCAACAATAGCGTACTATTTGATTTGCTGTAGCATCTCCATCTAAAATAAACATGTTTTTAATACTATGTCGTATCACAGACATTAGTCAAACTTGCAGAATCGTAAAAAAATAAATTAAAAATAATATTTCATAACGTTTTCTTTTATTATTATTATTATTATTATTATTATTATTATTATTATCTTTGTTGTGGCATTAAGTAGTAATACTTTTTTGCGTTTTGTTGGTCGCTACTGTTCAAAGACTACAATTCCCAGCATTCCTTGCAACCGTCCAACATGGCAGCGCGCTGTAGCTTTTGAGAACGAAGTGTTTTAATGTTTGCACGTTTTGCAGTTATGTTAGCTTTGTTTGTACTCATTTCCCTTTTTAAGGGTTCTTTTTCTACCTTGGACTCTGAAGGTGGGTCAATTTAAGCATTTAATGTTAATCTATTATAGTATTTTACGTTCCAGCCAAACATCTGTGTTGATTTCTGGTAAAAGGAGCATTAAGACATTTGTGTTATTGTGTAATTTTGGTGATAACAGAAGATTTCCACCCCGTAGTTGCTCAGGATGTCCACGGTGAGAACTACCTGCTGTGGATGTGGAGCAACAGACTTTACATTTATTCTGCTGCAGCTCTGCTTTTAGGCTTGTTCTTCTTTCTTGGACGCAGGAAGGTGAGTTTTGTCCTCTCCTTTAGTAGCAGCAGCCTAAACTTTAACACCACGCAGTCCTGTTTGACTTCCTGTTTTCTCTTCAGATAATCAATGCAAAGGATTCTGGTTCAAAGATCCAACAAGCTGCAAAAAACAACAACAGTCCAGAGAAAGATGATGATGTTTATGTTTCAGGGGTTAAAGTCTTTTATGGCTCACAAACTGGAACAGCAAAGGTAAATATATATTTGTTCTAGGCATATTGAATGAAATAAAACATAAAACTGTTGTGCTCCAGCTTCTTTGGCCTTCTACATGTTTTATTTGTATTTTTTCAGGGTTTTGCCACAGAGCTTTCAAAGGATGTGCAGACTTTGGGTTTCCCAGCTGAGGTGATTGACATGAAAGACTACGATCCAGATGATCGGCTCGCAGACGAGGTACAACATATTTCTGTTCATCCATCAGTCAATTTATCATCATTCAGTTCAGTTCAGTAGCTTTTATTTGTCCCAGTATGGGTCATTTTGTGCACCTTTCACACACACAATCACATTTCACAAATAAAAACACATGAAATATTGTAAAAAGATAAAAGTAAATAAATAAATTAATAAATATGTGCAGTGCAGGGGATGAATAAAAGCTTGGGCCTAAATGCATGCAACATATGACTATCTGCTTTTCCTAGTAGAGTTTAGCAGCTGAACAGCAGAGGGAATAAAGGAGTGTTTGTATCTGTTGGTCGGAGCTGGTGGATATTTTAAACGGGAACCATAGGGTTTTAATATAATGCATGATTGTTCAAGAAGGTTGTGCCTTTTTTTGGTTTAAATCTATTTTGAAAAGAGTTTCTAGAAAGGATGGGGAAGTTATTCTGGACTCTATTTAAATCCAGAGAAGTATAAACGCCTTGACATGATGGATATCTGGGAACTGTGTGTGGGAAACAAACGACACAAAATTAAATAATTTTATTAAGTCACAACCTTTGATGCCGTTTTAAATTTTTATTTGACAAACAGACCTTTATTTTAAAAAATAAAATTTTTTCCTCTTTTTTTTTTTCTCTTAGTTGAAAATTTTTTTTATATTTTAAAAGCTAGAAATGCAAATAAGCTGCTGGTTGTTTAAGATGGCAACACATTTTCCTATAGCAGATATTTAACAAAACTTAAAAAAAAAAATCCTGCAATATTTTGCTGTTCTATTTGGACTGAGCGTAAAATGGCTTTTTAGATATGAAAGTTCGCAGACCGCTCCTGTAGTTCAAGCATCAGACTGTTTAGGAAAAGACTCAAACTGGTTTATATGAGATGAAAGGAGGGCGAGGAACATGAATCTGCTCTCCTAGTCACTGGAGATGGTGTATAAATATTTCTGTATTTGTGGTCTATTTGGGCTAAGAGTAATACACGTATGGATGCAGAAGTGTGTTTGCACATGTGAATGTTTATAAGTATATCAATAATTATATTTGCTCACTTAATGGACTTTTTTTTTGGATTTTTTTTTTTTTTTTTTGGAGTAGTACGTATGCACCCAGGATAATTGATCAATGATAAGGACAATACTTGGAGAATGGGCATCATTTGAATAAGTTTCACTTCTTCAAAGCCACTTTTCCCACATACGCTCTAAATTACGGTATATCTTTCATTAATTATCCGTAATGTTTCAATGTGTTAAATTAGTCCTGTTATTAGATTATCTGAGATATTATTCAATCATTCCTCTCTAATCTGAAGAGGTTCAGGTAATCTAAGCAGATATTCATCAGTCATGTTCAGCTGAATAGATTCTAAGTAGTTTTTATTTTCTGGGCAGAGTTTATTTTTACTGCAGTAAAACATAAATATGAAATGAGGGAAATCATTATAATCAACAGAGAGAAATCAGTTATGATAAACCCAGGCAGTAGAGGCTCCTTATCATGTTGACTCGCTTTCAGTCGATGGAGAAGAAATAACTTCTCCTCCTATGGTGTGATAATAATAATACTAATTGAACTTTATTAATCTCACACTGGAGAAATTCACCTATGCATTTAACCTATCCCCTTGAGAGCAGTTGTCTGCTGCTGTGCAGGAGTGGTGCTTGAACTCAGAACGCCATGCCCTAACCTCTAGGCCGCCACTCCCTCAATACTCCCTTTTGCAGCATGAATATGAGGCTTTTCCTCCAGTGCTAATCTAGTTTGAACCTCTGCAGCTAATGTGGTGATCTGTTTCCTACCGTGATGTATTGTAGCTTCTTAGTTTTATGTTGCCATCTGAATGTGACGATGTTGTTTTCTTTGTGCCTTTGTCCTCCTTCAGTGTAGCAGTAAGTCAGTCTGCGTGTTTCTCGTGGCCACCTACACTGACGGACAACCCACAGAGAACGCCGAGTGGTTCTGTAAGTGGCTGGAAGAGGCTTCCACCGACTTCCGGTACGGGAACACCTTCCTCAAAGGCCTCCGATACGCAGTGTTCGGCCTCGGCAACTCGGTCTACGTTGGTCACTACAACACGGTCAGAACCGGGAATTACAGTAAGGTCCTTTATAATAAAACAGAAAACAGTTAAACACCTTCATCTGTTCTGCAGGTGGGTAAAAATGTAGACAAGTGGCTGTGGATGCTCAGTGCCAAAAGAATCATGAGCAGAGGAGAGGGCGACTGCAACGTGGTGAAGAGTCGAAACGGTAGCGTTCAGGCAGACTTCCAGGCCTGGAAGGCAAAGTTCCTGAGCCGCCTGAAGGCGCTGGCCAAAGGTGAGAAGAGGAGCTGCAAGGATGAAGGTTGCTGCAAGAATAGAAAGAAACATGGAGAAGAAAAGGAGCAGAAAGCTGTGATGCAGGAGAACAGCTCCGAGGTAACAGAAAACATCTTTCTGTTTTATGAGTAACTGTGAAGATAATGCATTGTTTACGTTGCTTAGGAGACTTTTTGAAACTGGTGATTTCTTATATAACAGCTCCTAAACCTGAAAGGAGGGTTTGGTAGAAAAATGCATTAGTAACTAATAGTTTATATAACTGTTTATAGACATTCATTTTGTATGCACTGCTGCTTCACAGCAAGAAGAATCTGAGCTCAAAATAGTTTAACTTTCCAAGTTCTTCTTTTTTTTTAAAGTCGTACGGAAGTGTGTAATCTTTCTGGCTTAAACTTGTATATAAATGTACTCTTTATCAGACTATATTGTCCCAAAATTTAGAAAATTTCTATTTAAAAAAAAATTCTGTCTAAAAATCTGTGTTTTTTTCTCGTTATCTTATGCAGGTCAGTTAGTTATACGTCAGCCTGAACACTTAAATTCAGTCAATCATATATCAATGGTCATCTGCCAATTACATTTTTTCGGTCATAGCATCTTGATTCATATGTCGCAGCTAATATACGCAACGGTTTAAATAAGAAATAAGAATCATTTCCCATTGAGTTCCGTCCCAGTGTTCACGGGGATGGACGTCTTTGTCTTCAGCACGCGTAGAGCTAACAGAACTGGCAGCGTTGCGAGGCAAGGGCTCAATCATGTACGGCTGTAAGCCTTCTACACCAAACCAAGCTTCTGCCCCCCTGGCGTCCTCTTCCACAACAACTTATTCCCCGCTTTCCTCCTCTAAATAAAAAATGTATGACAGAAGAGACTCATCCACGACCTCCGACACTAAACTCTCCTCCTCTTGCATGTTTCCACTGTCCATAGCGTTCCTTGACAGTGTCCTTTCTAAGTCGTCAATTTATTGCTAGTAGGTTCCCAATGGAATTTCCCATTGGGAACCTACTAGCACTAAGTTGCTAACTGGTTAGCAAGATGCTTCCGACAAACGGCCACAATCAAACTTGCTTGCGAACCTTCCGCCACAACAATCCTGCCCCCTTACAAAAACGACCAATCACATTCACTTTATTCACTCGTGTAAATTTCTGCACCACTCAGGAGAATTTGGAAATGCAACGGTTGGAACAGCCGTTTCACTACGACTTTAAACTGTTTGTCCTATTTGCACATGACCTTTTATGTCATACCTTCAGGTGTTATTCACAAAGTGTCCCCAAACCCTTTCTTTACTGTCACCAGCACACTATAGTGAATTTTAAACCTCTTTGGGGCTTGAAAATGTTAATTTTCCACTGTTAGTGTGGAGCTTTGTACGCCATGATGAGCCAAACATAACAGACTGATGAGCATTCTCTGCTGCAGAATGCAGACTGCTGCTTCACACAATAAACTCAACACTTTTACTGAGATGTTAAAAAAGATGTAAACTCATAAGACTTGAGTTAATATACAGCAAATGGTTATGGTCTAATTTGATGATTATGTCAGCTCGTTGCTAAAAGCCCTAAATATTTTCTTCATTAAGAGGAGCCTCAGCATTAGTCTCATTATTCCCTCCAAAAAGATGAGTAAAATCTGATAAAAACTCAGAAACTCTGTTAATTTCTCTTTTATATGGTTTAAGAATAACTATAAAGTCTAAACAGTTTAAACTTGATCTTGTCAATAAGCTCCAGGGTGGCCGTAGACAAACAAATGCAATAAAAAAATCCTGCAAACAAAAAAGTCCTAATCCAGACATTTTGAATTGAAAAAGGTTCAGGGATGGGATGTGAAATGTCTTCAAACTTGGAAAACAAAGTCCAGTTGATTGTTATTGTTGTTAACGTATTTAACTTTTTTGGAATGCAAACAGAAAAATGCTGCAATCAGTAAAAGTGGAAGCAAAAACTGGAATCAAAACAATAAATGCAAACAATAAATGCTGCAGAGAGAAAATAATGCACTCACTTACATATTTGCACCCTGTTTCGTCAGTTGCTGCACGTTTTTACCCTTCAGTCAAACCATCTCTCTAATATGAAGCATTTCGGGGTTTTTTAATCATTCACTGACTTTACACAATTTAGATTTTCACATTGTTTTGTATTTGCAAGCACTTGTCATTCACATGAAGAGACACAGAGGATCAGTTGTCATGGTAGCGGGCTTCACAGAGGGTGCAGCTCTTACAGAAATGTGACATTCATTCAGAATCCACAGGATCCTAAGTGAAGAAACTTTTAAAAAGCTCCACACTCTGTGTTTGGTTGAAGACACAATAAGATAATATTCAGTTTTTTTTCTCGTTTTTGTTTTTTTAATTCTTTTTCTTTTTAGATGGATCTGATTGAATCCAGCAGTGAGGAGGAAGAGTCTGTCCTGCCAGATGAGAAAGCATCACGATCCGTGGTAGACGTGGAGGATCTAGGCAACATTATGAATAACGTCAAGAAAGCAAAGGTTAGGCTTCATCTGCAGTTAAAACGACACCTCATTTATGCTGCACGTACCTTCACCATTGATCTTTGCATCAGTGAATATATCAGACTGTCTGATGACCAAGCTGATAACTCAATTTATGGCATTTCTTTGTGAATGTATACAACATCAGATCCATTAAAGACTGTATCCCAGATGTAAGAAAATTAACAGATCGGCAAACAGAACTTGAACAGTGTTTATGAGTAAAGACAACCAACAAGGCCTAAACCGTTGAGCTGAAGCTACAAAGTGCAGATGAAATGACTCCTAGGCTAACAGTGGGTAAAATCCTTTCAGATCTGCATTATGGCACAAAATACACAGATCTTTAATTTTTAACCAATAGCATCTCCCATTGAGTGTCTTTTCTATTTTTATTAGTTTTCTATTAGTTTTTCAGTTGGACATTACAGTTAGCAGTTCTGAGCGTAGACTGATCAAGTCTTGCCTCCAATTTGTTCTACATTTATGTAAATGTAAACAGAGTAGAGGTTTGTACAAATGCATTTGTTTTAGTAGTAGTGAGGATTTTCTTCTGGTTCACCCAACTGATATCTTCACCATTCCTCTTCAGTTTTAACATCTGCCTGATTATAGTTTCCATCAGAAAAAAATGTTCATCCTTCACATGAGTTAAAGTAGTTGTATAATCACCCAGGATACAACTACACTTGGTTCTATGAAAAGAAAAGAAAAAAAAGTCAAACTGGACACACTCGCAGTTGGTATATGCTGCATTATTTACATCCTAATAAATGGCAGCCTTTCTAAAATAAAAAAAATATACAAAAATGACAGAAAATGGCAAACTAAACTGTGTTAAGTGCAAAAGCCTGCTACTGTGGAATGTCAATGGATTTTGTATTGGGATGGTTGTGATGCCAGGTGGGGGTGGGGGGCCATGAACTGCACCCATGCACAGACCACCCCCCTTCATCAAAACCAATTCTGGACAGTATAGCGACTCTGCTGGGAGAGGTAGCTAGTAAGAAGTTAGTTAGTGTCATCTAATTCAAGCCAAACTCATTGGGGAAGCTGTATAATTTGGCAAGAAGGCTAGTATAAAGTAGCCTGACGTAGTCCGACTCAATTCTAGTCAGAATATGAGTCTGATACTGCTCCATAGAGCTGTGATTATGGGGCGTGTTTCGAACGAACCAGGAAAAAAAATGCCTCTGCACTCAATTGGATAGACCTACAACCAATAAGAGCAACGGAGTGCGTGACGTATGTTAAGCGAGGCATAGTTGTTGTCCACAAAAATCAAAGCGTGCAGTTTCACGCCTAGAATAAGAAGATGAGACTTGATCGCGTTTCTCTGTTCCTCTTTTAAAATTAATTTGCTGTCGATATCTTCTAGAACAGACCTAATAGCAGAATCTACTCACCCAAACTCTCCAGCGGCAGCCATTATTGTTGTCACCCTAGCGCACTTTGGTCACGTGGTTGATTACGTTACTCTTGATCATCTGTCCATCATCGTATAAAGTCCGCCCTGACAATTTGATTGGATCGCCTGACAGTGGGCGATAATACTCGCGCTACTATGGAGCAGAGCCAGACCGAACTTCCCCGAACTCAAACCTTGTGGGCGGGACTAAGTTCTGACTGGCACCCAGGCTAAGTATAAAGGTGGTAGAAGATAACAGAAATGACTACCGTAATTTTTGGACTATAAGCCTCGACTTTCTCCCCATTTTTCGACCTTGCGGCTTATATAACAATGCGGCTTATCTATGGACTTTTACAGCTTACGGCCACTAGGGTAATACCTAAATCTATGGATTTTACCATCCACCATGTTGACGTCACATTTGCTTCAACACACAAGCATGGTAGCCGTGCACGGGGGAATGCGGAGGTCCTCCGGAAGCAGACTTCTACCGCGAGTGGTACGAGACAGAACGACAGCGAGAAAGACGGACATTAAACATAAAAAACCTGCGGCTTATAGTCCGGTGCGGCTTGTATATGTACAAATCATGCAATGTAGCTTCTGTGGCTTATATTCAGGTGCAGCTAATAGTCCCAAAATTACGGTAGTCTCCGCCACTTTACATGGAGGGAATAAAGGAAGACATGACGAACTCTGTTAGAGCTCAAATGCTCCAAAGGGATAGACTAATCAAGGAGGGAGTGTGTATGATGTGTGAGGATTTAGTAGAAGATACCAAAACACACAAAAGGGAAAAATCTACAATTTGATGTTATAATTTCCTTGTCTAAGTGTTCTGCCAAAATCCTGTTTTTTTTTTTGCTTGTCTCTGTTAAGTAGAGATTTTTCATGACATCCTGTTTAGCAACATGCTCATCTTTGCTATGGATCAACAGAAGAGTGCTTGTAAGGAGAAGTAAGAATATGCAGAGCAATGTGTGGAGGTAAAGGGTTCAAGGGTAAAATAGGAGGGCGGAAGAAGGCAGAAAAATTAACTATAAACTAGGACTGGGAGTAGTGTGAAATGCAATAGGATGGCAAGGGTGAACTGCTTGGTAGCTGGTTACAGGTTGCTTTAGTAGGAGATCTTCCTCAGGTGGTTATGCACCTCAGAGGTGTAGATCTCTACCTGAAAAGAAGCTTTATTGCCCACATTCAGGCTATTTTCAGCATTTCCATGTTAAGATCTGGAAGCCGCTCTACATTATAGAGCCTTTATCCATTCTAACCTTTACTAGTGAATAGGAAAAAACAACATGTCACTGAAGGAGAAATGGCAGATGGGTTGATAGACACCAGACCACGGTGGAGGAGAAGTGGAGGCTTGCGTAATATCTAGGACGCCCACTCCACAGATATGTGAGGAATGGGTGAGTCAAGAAAAGCAGGAAGAATATTTGAGGAAAGAGATGTTATCAGCCCCTTTTTAAAGGTTTTCATTGTGTGAAGTGGTCAAACTGAGCGAAAAGGAAAGAAATAATTTTACTTTATTTCAAAAATAATAAAACATGGGGGGGAAAAAATCTGCATTTTTCTCATTGATCTTAACTCAAAGATTCATGTAATCTAATTGATTTATTGCTTTGGGGTTATGTTGTGTTATCTACCAAAGGAAAAAAACTATACACCAAAACGAATAAAAGCATAACAATCTTGTTACTGCAGAGTTATTAAGATGCCGTTTTAGGCACATTATTGCCGTCTGAAGTACAGCATGGCAAGAAAAAAATAACATGTCTTTGAATAAAAATAGTATAAATAAGAAATTTAGTGTTTTTGTTAAATTAGGTCTCAACTTTGTGCAAATTAAATGCAGAACAGAACCAATATACTCCTTACGACAACAGCAATAATAGCTTCTGAAGAGACATTTAACATTTCGTAATATAGACTTCTCAAAGATAGTAATAGAACGGTAGCCTGACGTAGTCCTATTCAATTCTAGTCAGAATATGAGTCTGATACTGCTCCATAGAGCTGTGATTATGGGGAGTGTTTCGAACGAACCAGGAAAAAAAATGCCTCTGCACTCAAAATCAAAGGGTGCAGTTGCACGCCTAGAATAAGAAGATGAGCATGAACGATTTTTGCCGGTGTTGCAAAAAAAATAATTTGCTGTCGATATCTTCTAGAACAGACCTAATAGCAGAATCTACACACCTCAACTCTCCAGCGGCAGCCATTGTTGTTGTCACCCAAGCGTGCTTTGGTGACGTGGTTGATTATGTTACTGTTGATCATCTGTCCATCATCGTATAAAGCCCGCCCTGACAATTTGATTGTCCCACCAGATATTGGGCGAGCATACTCGCGCTACTATTGAGCAATGCCAGACCGAACTTCCCTACCTCAAACGTTGTGGGCAGGACTAAGTTCGGAATGGCACCCAGGCTAATAGAACGGTATGTCAGCCGGACAATATTTTGTAGTGACATTTTCTTGTATCTGCGTTGGCCGATACCAGCACAGATTGTCTGATACCTAAACGCGTTGGCCGACACCCGCACGCGTCGGCCGACACCCCGCACGCGTCGGCCGACACCCCGCACGCGTCGGCCGACACTCCGCACGCGTCGGCCGACACCCCGCACGCGTCGGCCGACACCCGCACGCGTCGGCCGACACCCCGCACGCGTTGGCCGACACCCCGCACACGTCGGCTGACACCCATATGTCTGTTCTTAGCCTCACGTGCTCCAAACGAAGGTCATGAGAGATGAGAATGAGTTACGCAGCTTCCTTCATGGCATGAATGGGAGGACTTTTGTTTACAGAAGTTCCATCTGGCCAGTAAAGATATTTTAACCTAACAGGGAATGGCCTTGATGAACTCAAGTTGTTTTTCCTCCAACTGTTCAAGTGTGAGAAAGTTCTTTATGCAGGGGTGGGTTGGTTCCTCTGGGGGGAGTTGGTGTGTGTTTGGACTTTTTAAGGTATAAATGTATGTACTGAAGTTGCCTCAGTCAGACCTCTATCTCTCCGTCTGAGGACCTTTTTCCTTGCAAGAAATGCCTCTTTCATCTTCCAAACCCCAGAGTTATTTATCACAATAGCTAAACAAACCTGGCTGATGGTAGTGATCACATGTGTTTGAGGCATTCTTTGTCTGTTTACTTCAATGCACCACAACTGCTTGGAAGGCATTAGGCAGAGGTTATACAGGTGCTGGTCATAAAATTAGAATATCATGAAAAAGTAGATTGATTTCAGTAATTCCATTTAAAAAGTGAAACTTGTATATTATATTCATACATTACATACAAACTCATATATTTCAGATGTTTGTTTTGTTTAATTTTGATGATTACAAATGACAACAAATGAAAATCTCAAATTCATCATATCAGAAAATTAGAATATTACTGAAGACCAATAAAAACAAAGGATTTATAGAAATGTTGGCCAACTGAAAAGTATGAACATGAAAAGTATGAGCATGTACAGCACTCAGTATATAGTTGGGCCTCCTTTGGCCTGTATTACTGCAGCAATGCGGCGTGGCATGGAGTCGATCGGTCTGTGGCACTGCTCAGGTGTTATGATA